AAATTTACTCAACTTCTAGTTTCTTATTGATGTATTTGATACATTAAAACAACAAAAGTTTTATAAAGGGCTATATTTTAGTTAGAATAAGGTGAACAATATTTACTAAATTCTTAACTTATGTCTGAGAATGCTTTGTGGACTTGGGGGGCCTAGTTATAGAAATGGATATGCTTTGTGATTTCAGTACATTATAGAAAAAGAACCCGTTTTTAACTCTTATAACTTCTAAATGATATGAAAATTAATATTTTGATATCAGTATATTATGTAAATCCTCATACTAAAAACTGTGTTATGAATTTCTTGCATTATTTATTTATAATTCTCCTCTAGCTAGTTCTAGCAGTAGTGAATGTTTAAGTTATTTGCAATGTTTAATAATATGTGGTACATTGATAGACATTTTCAAATCTATCAGAAAATTATCATTATTGAAGACTTCATTGACGATGAAAATAAATAATATAAAAATGTCACAAGTTTGAATTTATTTGTGAGAGAGAAATGGGGTTTAATGTCCACTCGACACAAACTAGGTTATTTCAGGACTAACATGTGCTGTTTAGTAATTTTCTTGAGAGTAGAGGTCTAGTTGTGGGCTGGAAAACTGGAGGACCTGGAGAAAACCCATGAGGTTAGACAGGCGACCCTACTTCTTGTCACGCACGAGCGGGGTTTCAAAACCACCCCACTTGACTCAATCACAGACCTTATGATCTAGTTGTGGGTGGGAAACTGGAGGACCCGGAGAAAACCAATGAGGTTAGAAAGGCGACCCTACTCCTTGTCAAACACAAGCGGGGATTCGAAACCACCCCACTTGGCTCAATGACAGACCTTATGATCTATTTGTGGATGGAAATTGGAGAACCTGGAGAAAACCCACGAGGTTATACAGGCGACCCTACTCCTTGTCACGCACAAGAGGGGAATCGAAACCACCCCACTTGACTCAATGACAGACCTAATGATCTAGTTGTGGGTGGGAAACTGGAAGACTCGGAGAAAACCCATGGGGTTAGACAGGCGACCCTACTCCTTGTCATGCACAAGCGGGGATTCGAAACCCCCCCCACTTGGCTCAATGACAGACCTGATCTAGTTGTGGGTGGGCCTGGAGAAAACCCACGGGGTTATGCAGGCGACCCTACTCCTTGTCATGCACAAGGGGGGATTCGAAACCCCCCCCCACTTGGCTCAATGACAGACCTGATCTAGTTGTGGGTGGGCCTGGAGAAAACCCACGGGGTTATGCAGGCGACCCTACTCCTTGTCATGCACAAGCAGGGATTCGAAATCCCCCCCCACTTGGCTCAATGACAGACCTGATCTAGTTGTGGGTGGGCCTGGAGAAAACCCACGGGATTATGCAGGCAACTCTACTCCTTGTCACGCACAAGCGGGGAATCGAAACACAAACCCCCTCCCCACTTGACTCAATGATAGATCTTATGATCTAACTGTCACATGTTAAATCAATCCGCCACCAAATCACCCTGAAGTATTTGTGTGGGATGACTCTATTTACTTGCTGATCAAATTCTTTAACAATAGTGGGATTTACTGGGTTCACTGGCCATGGACCATCAATATTTAGTGGACACCTCAAATTACAAAGTAGTTAACCAAAAGGGAAATTGACACATTTCTTAAATTCTTCTAAATACTATACATATATGGCTACCCTACTCCTTGTCACGTACAACCGTGGAATCGAAACCGCACCAGCTGACTCAATGACAGACCTTATGATACAAAGCGCACACGCTGACCATTCGGCCATTCGACCCCCATATACCACGACATTAAACGGTACATGCAATGGTGGAATGGGATTCAGTGTAGTGTCTGTCGGTATATAAATGGTGTTTATTATACGCCCACATTGAAATGTTGTCGTATATTGTTGTCACCCCCGTCGGTCTGGCGTCCAAAGTTAATATCCTATTGATTTTAAATTTATACACACTGTTTAAGGTCATGAGACGAAGAATCCTATTGATTTTCAGCAATTTTCGATAATTACTGCTGGAGTTATGGCCCTTGATCACTTCAAAAAATCTTGTGGACACTCTAAAGGTCAAAGTTAATATCCGATTGACTTTAAATTTATACACAGTGTTTAAGGTCATGAGACGAAGAAGCCTATTGATTTTCAACGATTTTCGATAATTACTGAAAGAGTTATGGCCCTTGATCACTTCAAAAAATCTTGTGGACACTCTAGAGGTCAAAGTTAATATCCGATTGACTTTAGATTTATACACAGTGTTTAAGGTCATGAGACGAAGAAGCCTATTGATTTTCAGCGATTTCCGATAATTACAGCTAGAGTTATGGCCCTTGAGCACTTTGAAAAATCTTGTGGAAGCTCTAGAGGCTAAAGTTAATATCTGATTGACTTTAAATTTATACACAGTGTTTAAGGTCATGAGACGAAGAAGCCTATTGATTTTCAGCGATTTCCGATAATTACGGCCAGAGTTATGGTCCTTGATCACTTTGCAAGATCTTGTGGACGCCCTAGAGGCTAAAGTTAATATCCGATTGACTTTAAATTTATACACAGTGTTTAAGGTCATGAGACGAAGAAGCTTATTGATTTTCAGCGATTTCCGATAATTACTACCAGAGTTATGACCCTTGATCACTTTGAAAAATCTTGTGAACGCTCTAAAGGCTAAAGTTAATATCCGATTGACTTTAAATTTATACACAGTGTTTAAGGTCACGAGATGAAGAATCCTATTGATTTTCAGTGATTTTCGATAATTACTGCTAGAGTTATGACCCTTGATCAATTTGAAAAATCTTGTGAACGCTCTAAAGGCTAAAGTTAATATCCGATTGACTTTAAATTTATACACAGTGTTTGAGGTCATGAGACGAAGAATCCTATTGATTTTCAGTGATTTTCGATAATTACTGCCAGAGTTATGACCCTTGATCACTTTGAAAAATCTTGTGAACGCTCTAAAGGCTAAAGTTAATATCCGATTGACTTTAAATTTGTACACAGTGTTTGAGGTCAGGAGACGGAGAATCATATTGATTTTCAACAATTTCCAATAATTACTGCCAGAGTTATGGCCCTTGATCACTTTGAAAAATCGTGTGACACTCTAGAGGCTAAAGTTAATATCCGATTGAATTTAAATTGATACACAGTGTTTGAGGTCATGAGACGGAGAACCATATTGATTTTCAACAATTTCCGATAATTTCTGCCAAAGTTATGGCCCTTGGTCACTTTGAAAAATCTTGTGACGTTCTAGAGGCTAAAGAGGCTGTGGGCGTATGTTTCGTTGCCTGGCAACCTATCTTTTCCATATTGAATGCCATTTAAAATTGTGATTAGATGCGGCTTTGGCATTGCTTGTATGTAACATTTTACACACCACGTTATTTTGAAAAATAAAACCATCCAGGTCACACTGGGATAGCCAAAATATAATCCAAGTCAAAACTAATCGGAAAACCAAAACTCGTAAATGATCCAGAATTCCTTTTCAATATTAATAATTGGAAAGGGAATAAGCAACACGAGGCGCCAAAATCACTCGGAAAATCGGAAGTCGTAAATGATCGGGTTTTTCCTTCTTTCAAATAATAAAATGATCGGTTAAAAACATAAAATTCTATAGAAATTGAACACATTACGTCAATTCTTTAATCCAACGTCGAACAAGCTATAGAAATTAAAGAAATTGAGAAAGTAGATATTGTAGGAAGTACAATACGAGATGTGTGTTCATTCTGCACCTGGTGGTTGGTCCCATTCATCACTTATTGTCCACCTATATTTATTATTTCCCCGTAAAATATGTCAAGTCATTTAAAGGGAAGTTACCAACATTCTCATTATATGGAGAGAGGCTGTAACACATTCTATAAGCAGTGATAATGAGCAATATGATCTTCTTTAATAACGATTATTATTAACACATTTTGTTTTGTGTGAGGTATGACGTGGCAAACGATGTATAGCCTAATATCATATCGAAACCCCACACGTGACATTGAGTAGTGTCGCCTGCCTTACCTCGTGGGTTTTAAAATACAATTATACCATGTTATTCCCGAAATCTCTCTCTCTCTCCCCCCCCCCCCACTCTGGGTGGATGGCCGATTGGTTAGCATGTGCGCGCTGTATCCTAAGATCTGTGATTGAGTCAACGGGCATGGTTTCGTTTCCCCGGTTGTACGTGACAAGGAGTAGGGTCGCCTGTCCAACCTCGTGGGTTTTTTCCGGGTCCTCCAGTTTCCTCCCACTGCTAATGACCCTAACGCGCAAGCGAATTATTGAAATAAAATTGAACCATATTAGTCCCGAAATAGCCTAGTTTGTGTCGCGTGGACGTTAAACTTAATTTCTCCTCTCTCTCCCCCTCTCTCTTCTTTTGGAAACAGAAAGCTCGCGTCTTTAAATAAATTAACTGGTATCTCTGTAATAATGGACACATGTACGTTCATTTCTCAATAAAGAACAAGTTAAAAGTAAACATTTTAGTATCCAGCTGACGAAAAATATGAAAATAATTTACAACTTTTAAATATTCTAGGACTGATGTATCACAAAAATGTCAAAGGGGCAAAAAGCGTGAAAAATTAATATTTAAAAAAAAAACCGCTATGACAAAAATAGAGATTAGCACATTCGAACCTTTTAAGAGTATAGCCAGTGGTATTCATTAACTTATTAGACATTGTTCCTTTAAGTGAATTATGGCCTATATTTCTTTTAACCCCCTCTCTCATACATCATAATTAATCATTATTCATTTGAAAGTCTCGATTATTATATATGTTCTCGTTTGTCAAGTGGTACGTCCACTTCTATAATCTATGTATACATGGACATGCATGGCTGTCATCCGTTACTTCCTTCTTTTTACATGGTTGAATTGAATTCTTTTCATGGCCTGGATAACCGAACTGGCATAGTAAATACTCACATAAATAACGCATGATATACACGTCTGGATAATCTAGTTATCACATTGAGGGCGCTGTTTACAATTATACGAATCAAGGAAGTAAATTGCTTGCTCCCTTCGGGCTAATCTCTGTCACCCAATTTGGAGAAGTAATTGATTTCACACCTTGGTAAGTAAAAATCACTAAATACACTTAACTTATGTTATTTGTCTTTAATATTTTGATGCATTTAATCAATAGGTTTATGTTGACGCAAGTTAATTATAACTTTTACACTCAAATACGTAGATGACGGACCGTTAAAAGTTTTAAACGGGGCAACGCAGTTTTCGTAAATCGTGATGTAGACACATTATTTTGTCTTAAATTTGTGACTATTGTGTTAAATTGGAATTCCACAGGCCCTATTTGTCACGGAGAGTGAAATATTTGGGTTCTGGAATTAACGGTATTTGAGTTTTATAACTGTGTAAACAAAGTGGGTAACGTGTATGGGCGGTCATAATAATGTTCTAATATAGTTTATCTGTTGAGTATAACCACTTACATACTCTGTGTGATCTACACCAATAATACTTAAACAGTTACAGCAATACCTTATTTAGTAAAAAGACAAAAAAGGATTATTATAATTATTCGCATGGAAAATGGAATTAAATCTAATGTACGACCCCAGGTCAATGGCTTGGAATACGGTGGGTATATATATATATTTGTATATACGGTTATTACGTGTATTCACAAATAGAATATCCGGGACGAACGATTGATAAACTTCTATATTTATATCTGTTTGATCTGACACTTTTGATAATAATATTATGTTTATTGTGTTGGAAATGTAATGAAATGAAATAACGTTGAGCATATGCCATGTAGTATGCTATGGGTGCAAGTATCGTGTACACATTTCATAACAACCATACTCCATTCCGTATGCTCCTATCATAGTTCTGAAAGGTTGTTAGTGCCACTTATGGCCCAAATAGCGCCTTTTTTTGCATAGGATCACTAATCACAATGTGGGGAGGGGGGGGGGGATCTATGAAAAATTCAGAATCGTAAGGTCCGAACTTCCACAAAAAAATTGCGTTTAAGAATGTTGAATGTTGATATCCTAACTTCGTTATTAAGATTGGAATAGGTTTTCGCTCATATCTCAAAAATTAAATCCACCATTTTTTGATGGGCCTACTTAACATCTTTCAGAACTATGACATCGATATACAGACACCTTGTCAGGACCACCATCCTGTGTCACTAACAAGGGCTACGCTGGAAAATCCCGATAACCCTTCTCGCTCAACCAGGGGCGTCGGAACGGCGCGAGGGCCAGGGTACCAAAAGATAGGGGGGGGGGGGGAGGGGTCTCTACCCCGGCTTTTTAGAACGCCTCTAGCATTCAATATTCCAACATAAAACCCTTTAAAATACATGATAATGAAAGAGATAAAAGCCTGATTATTCACAATTTTCGTATCATAGACTAGTAAAAAGGTTGAAAACTTTCATCATTAGGGCGTTGTTATACATGTATACCCCAGAAAAGGACAGGGTACCATTTGTATACCCTGGTACCCGGGTTCCGGCGCCCCTGCGCTTAACACTGGGATCGAACCTTGCACATCCTGATTAGCGAGCCAGTGACATATCCACCAAGCCACTGTGACTACTCATAGTATTGTAATATTATATTTCGTTATCTAGAGTTTCATTATTATATTGTTTAGGATCCAGATGCACGATTTTATAATTAGAATATTTCAGTTCATGCTGAGGACACTTTTAGCTATAACGATTTCCAATGTCTAGTCGTTTTAGCCATAAATCATGTCAAGAACTCTGAACTGAGGGGCGGATCCAGGAATTTTTGCAGTGGGGGGGGGGGAGTTTGCCAGGTTCCTGAGACAATGTATCCCCCCCCCCTCATGGTCTCTATCGTCATTTTGGCGTATATACATACACATTGAGCTTTTTAAACAGAGAAATTCAAGACCTCGTTTGACGTCAATTTTTATTATGAATTAATACAATGACATTGTGATTCAATTTCATGGATGCAAAGCATTAATTGCGATATCACAATTTTTCTCATAAAAGGTGTTGATTTACAAAACATTTTATGTACCTGAGCGGGGTCGCCCCCCCTCCCCCCCCTGGATCCGCCCCTGGAACTAAAGTCAATTATTTTCCTTGTCTTGGCCAGTTCAGTTTGAAGACAATACAAAATTATCCTGGTAAAAGCCCATTTAATTTATTCCATTTACAAAATGAATGGCGGAGATAGAGATAGAGAGAGGGAGAGAAAGTTTAACGTCCACTCGACACAAACTAGGTCATTTCGGGACGAACATATGGCTCAGTTTTATTTCAATAATTCGCTTGTGCGTAGGGGTCTTTAGCAGTGGGAGAAAACCGGAGGACCCGGAGAAAATTCACAAGGTTGGACAGGCGACCCTACTCCTTGTCACGTACAGCCGGGGATTCGAAACCATGCAAGTTGACTCATTGACAGAGCTTTTGATACAACGCACACGCGCTAACCATTCGGCCATCCACACCCCGGAATGGCGGAGAACGTTGTCGTTAAAGTTAAATGTTATTGTAAAATGACTATACAAAATATATCTATACTCGTCATTGTTCACGTGAGCGAACGTCTAAATATGACGGAAATTAAGCATTAGTGCTCCGGTATGTCAAAGTCGCTTCGTCTGTTTCACAACCACGTGACAAAATAGAAGTAATTTTAACAGTGGAAATACGTGAAATTCAACACTCCATCTCCAGTCTGTTGAAAATGAAATGAAATGGGGTTTAACCAGGGGCATGGTGACCCCAAAACAATTTTTATATGTGTGAGCGGTGGAGGGGGTGGGATGGCAGTGCCTCCCAGTGCCACCGAGTAATGTTGGGCTGTGTGGAACATGCTAGAGTTTGTAGCCCATCTGACCCACGGTATATGTTTGACACTGGTTGATCAATATGATTATAATTATAATGTTGAAAACCGCATTGATACGGGGTGATTTTTTGCCATTTGTGAGGGGGCGCAAAAATTCAAAACGGCGCATAAATCCAAACCCATGACGCAAAGATCGTCATTGCATGCGTCCCTCTCACTTAGCCACTGGTTTTAAAGTTCTACGTAATTCGGCGCCGACTGGGCTGGAATTTCATCTGTCAAGGGTTCTTTTACATGCACGCCAATGTGTACACGAGACATCTGTTTTTCGTCCCATCCGTTGCTCCTGGTTAGTGAGCTATTGCTTTACCACACACAGAACGACCGCAACTCCCGAGATTCTTGGTCGTTTTTGTCTCCGCGCAGCAATGTTTATGTGAGAATATAAAGCGAAACTAAAATAAAACGAGACAAAATGTTAAAGGGGCATTAGGTAAGATTAAAAGTTGACAGTTCTCGCTATAATAGTTAAAAAATAGATAATGTAAATAGAATATGCAGGCAATTTCAGGCAAATTGTTCCATTCTGAACCCAGATATTAGCTTTTGAATTTTATGCTAACCTCGATCATCATTATTAAAGTCGGTACAATAAAAAACAAAGTCTCGATTATCCATTTTTACGTTTAATTTTTTTTTTTAAAAACTTTTTTTTATTCCATTCCGCTAAATATCGCAGGCTAGTGATGGCATCGAGAGTTGATTAGTTAATTAATGCCTAACTAATAATTTAAATAACATTTCAGGCCTAAAGAAAGGCCTAGACAGATTTAGCTCTTGCATAATGTATGTTTAATGAAATACTTTAGAACTGTATAGTCTATATATTATGGGGGGGTTGGATGGCTGAATGGTTAGCGTGCGCGCGCTTTATCATAAAGTCTGTCATTGAGTCGACTGGCGTGGTTTCGAATCCCCGGTTGTACGTGACAAGGAGTAGGGTCGCCTGTCCAACCTCGTGGGTTTTCTCCGGGTCCTCCGATTTCCTCCCACTGCTAAAGACCCCTATGCGCAAGCGAATTATTGAAATAAAATTAAACCATATGTTAGTCCGAAATGACCTAGTTTGTGTCGTGTGGACGTTAAACCCCATGTCTCTCTATATATATATATATATTTCTTACAATGTCATAACCTTTTCTCACCAGACATCAACTAGGAAGTTATTTGTTTATTCATATACATATCTTTACATATATCAAACAACTACTTTACGAATGAGAACAAACAACTGGGATCGTCGCTTGACTTACTCTGTAATTTATTATTCATGCTTTACTTAATTTATATTTAATATTTAATTGTGTGCATTTTGAAGTCTCAAAGGTCGAGTAAATATTTGATCGTGCGCATATTAGAGTTTCTGTAGGCCAATTAAATATTGTATTGTGCGCGCATTCAAGTCTCCAGTATGGTTGTGTCGATAAATCGATACGCCGATATGTATCGATACGTTCCAGCGATATTTATATCGATACGTAATATATCCGTATCGTTGAAAAAATTCTACAGTTAAGAAAGACCACGAAACCCACGTGGCGAAAGAAGACGATCTCGGCATGGTTTGCCAATCGAGCGTCTTCGCCACGCTCCGTATGAATTTTGATAACTTCGAGTTGTGCTTTCTAATTAGAAAAAAATAAAAAAATAAAAATAATAGTGGAAATCTCTGCATATTGACTCTATAGCTGTTTTGGGTTCATACAAACTGTTACCTTTTCTGCACTGTTCTAATGGAGAAGGGTTTTGTGTTTTTACTCCCTGGCCGAAGGGTTTTGTGTTTTTACTCCCTGGCCGAAGGGTTTTGTGTTTTCTAACGGGCCTTGTACAATCTGGTTAAAACACAGATCCTATTTCGTTTCATTTTTTATAGTTCTAAATTTCGTTTTACTTGTCTTTACTACACTTTATATAGTGCAGGCCATCGAAAGTATAAAAAAAAAGGAAACGAAATTATTATATAGATCTGTATTTTAATCAGATTGGGGCCTTGTACATGCTAATGTTTGTAATAAGACTAAAGGCAAGAAAAACGAACCCACCTCGAATTAACCTATAAAATTAAAATATAATGTTTATGTAGAATAAACCGAATCACACCCCCCCCCCCCCAAAAAAAAACCCCAACCCAAAGCGCATTGCCTTGAAAGACAAAATAAAAATGAAATTAAAGAAAACCCGACAAAAATATGGCCCAAAAAAGGACAAAAAAGAAGAAAAAATTAGAAAAAAAAGAAACAAAAAATCAATAGCAATGTTCATGTTTGTATAAGCCAGGTATCTAAAACAGATCTTATTTCTATTGTACTTGTTTTACATCTGGGTATCTTCGAGAACTTTAGTACCTTTACAATATATTTTAATGGACAGATTTGACGTATTAAGGTGAAAATGATATGGTTATGATTATTTGTTTTATTTATGACTATATAAGATTAAACATACATTATGCAAGATCTAAAAATTGCAGGTCTTTCTTTACGCCTGAAATGTTATATAAATTATTAATTAGACATTTATTAACATGACAAGACCATAATCAACTCTCGGTGCCATATTATGTGTCAGATTTTCATTAGATTTGAACCCGATCAATTGGATAATCGAAACTTACAGTGATAACAATGACAATCGAGACTACAGTGTTTTTAAAATGAAGTTTTCTCGGCTCCGAGAGAAGTAATTTGACTGAAATTTTCTGCATATTCCCTTTACATTATCTATTTTTGTACCTATTATAGCGAGAACTGCGAACTCTTTATCTAATCTCCCATAATGTATCTTTAAATATAAAGAGTAGGCCAGAGATAAAAGTATAAACGTGATCAAATTTATGACTAATTGAATTGTTATTATACCCATATTTGGTTTAAACATTGTCTTATTTCGTGTATAATATGGGTATTTGCAACATTAATACAACTATCCGATTTGAATGAATAGATGAATGAAATGGGGTTTAACTTCCTACCGAGTCAACTAGCGTAGTTTCGATTCCTCGGGGGGGGGGGGGGGTCACGGTGGCTATGTGGGTAAGACGCAGGCCAAGAAAGTTCATCCAGATTTTCCGGCGTGGTTCGCCCTTGTCAATCATGCAGGACGAGGGCGTCACAACGACAGCGTGCACATTGGCGTGCACGTAAAAGATCCCTTGACAGTTGGAATTCGACATAAGAGTAGGCCGTAGTGCCGTTGTCCGGGCAACATTTCCCTCATAGCACACTGTATGGCGTATGCCCGCCTTCATTAGCCCAGTTCAGAGCAGAACAGTAGGACGTTAAACCCCATTTCAATTCATTTCGATTCTCTGGTTGTACGTGACAAGAAGTAGGGTCGCCTGTCCAACTTAGTGGGTTTTCTCTGCGTCCTCCGGTTTCCTCCCACTACTAAAGACCCCTTCGCGCAAGCGAATTATTGAATTAAAATTGAAACATATGTTAGTCCCGTAATGGCCTAGTTTGTGTCGAGTGGACGTTAAACCCCATTTTTCTCTCTCTCTTTAACGTCCTACCTTTCTGCTCCAACTGGGATAATGAAGACGGGCACATGTCAAACAGTGTCCTATGAGGGAAATTTTGCCCCAGCAGCAATTGAATACCAACGGTCAAGGCTTCTTTACGCACGGAAAGTTGGATGGCCGAATGGTTAGAACACGCGTGCTGTATCGTAAGGTCTGTTATTGAGTCAACTGACGTGGTTTCGATTTCCCATTTATACGTGGCAAGGAGTAGGGTCGCCTGTCCAACTTAGTCGGTTTTCTCTGCGTCCTCCGGTTTCCTCCCACTGCTAAAGACCCCTACGCGCAAGCGAATTATTGGAATAAAATTGAACCACGTGTTAGTCCCGAAATGATGTAGTTTTTCTCGAGTGGAGGTTAAACCGAAATCTCTCTCTCTCTCTCTCTCTCTCTCTCTCTCGCTCCCTCTTTATCAAAAGCGGGAAAAGGGTTCAGAACAAAGTATTACCGAGTGGAAAGAGTAAATGAATGATGTGGTTGGGGGGGGGGGGGCACTTTTAAATGTTTGCGCAATATTTCCGAAAGAGGAAGACAGCTGGACAGAGCGTTGATAATACCAAAATACTTCTTTTATGTTTTTATATAACAATGGAGAGCCACGATGGCTAAGTGAGTAAGACGTTGGCTCGCTAGTCTGGAGGTCGCATTTCTCGTGTCCTAATCTAACAGAGAGAGAGAGAGAGAGAGAGAGAGAGATGGGATTTATCGTCCACTCGACACAAACTAGGCCATTTCGGGACTAACATATGGTTCAATGTTATTTCCACAATTCGCTTGCGCGTAGAGGTCTTTAGCAGGGGGGGGGGGGAACTGGAGGACCCGGAGAAAATCCACGAGATTGGACAGGCGACCATACTCCTTGTCACGTACAACCGGGAAATCGAAACCACGCCAGTTGACTCAGTGACAGACTTTATGATACAGCGCGGACATGCTAAACATTCAGCCATCCAACCCCCACTAATGTAACATAGATATAAATCTATTTTAAAAGTTTAGACCTTTAGGAGGTTGTTAGACTCGTTCTGCAGCGTCTTAACATGCCATTTTACCAAAAATAATTTTATCATCTTGTAAGTAAAAAAAAATCACCCGATCTCGTGAACCAGGATGACGTTACTTATAAGACCAGTTTAAAAAAAAACCAAATAAACAGTTTTAAGAATTTGATATAGTATTATAATTTTAAAAATCTCGGTATTTGTTTTATCTGTTTCAGTAATATTGCTAATATTATATTGTGTAGTCTATAGCTCTGGTAATTATATGTCCGTACTTAAACATGCATTATGCAAGAGCAAAATCTGCTTATTACAAGTCTTTCTTTAGGCCTGAAATGTTATCTAAATTATCAATTAGACATTAATTAACTTATCCAGACCATAATAAACTCTCGATGTCAAGGCTAGCCTTCGATGTTGGCTGGATTAAATTCCTATATGCCGCTAACGACCGTTGATAATTAAATTAATAAAAGTGGATAATCGAGACTAAGCTGTTTATATTAATGATTTTAGTAATGATGACCGAGACTTTGCCAAAATTTCACCCGCTTCTTTCTTGGCTCATAGTGGATCAATTTGACTGAAATTTTCAGCAAATTACCTTTACACTATCTAGTTTTTAACTATTATAGCGAGAACTGCCATCTCGTGATCTTATCTCCCATAATGTATCTGTTACGGACGTATTAATAATTAATATTTCCCTGGTTTATTTAAATTACGTTCAAAATTGAATATCATCTTATAGATCTCCTCAACTTTTCTTATTTGATTATAGTAAATATTTATAACAATCTTAAGCGCTGTTTGCATGTACAATCATTTACTCATGATGCATATTTAGCCCATTAGAATATTTGCTCATTTGCCTTTTTGCACACGTGTGTAATTGAATTCGCGTGACACGATTTGCACATATATGTATAATTAGCACACGAATTTGCAAATTTGTATGATATGTATAAGGGTGCATACCAATCTGATTCAAATACAGAGCTATATTCCGTTTCGTTTTTTTATACTTTCGATGTCCTCTATTACATGGAGATCTAAACGGGTGTAGCGGAAAGTCGTGTCAGGGGCCATACGAGCGGCTTTTGACCCTATGTCGTCAGACATTTGATTAACCAATCAGCGTCGATGTTTCTAGCGGGTTACCCACAGTTCCGTGCAACTCACGCCAAAAACTCGCCATAACAGACCATTTCATTGGCTAATCCCTCACACCATACAGAACGCGGATTATATAACAACTCTTCCAGATCCTAATGTAGGAAAGACAAGTAAAACGAAAATTTGAACTATAACAAAACGAAACGAAATAGGATCTGTGTTTTAATCAGATTGGGTGCATTCGAAAGGGTATTAGAGATTCTATAGTTACATCAATTTTTAAAAGCACCACTCACATGTCGTGGAATATGTTCGATGATTTACATCCTCCGAATAAAATTGCTGGTTGGGCTGCTTCATATATTTATAGATGTCTGGTATCCATAGAGGCTGCTTGTTAACCAACCTCCTTCAATTATTCTTAAATTGTTCATTACAATATATTTAGTACATTTACAACCTTATTAACACTATTTAAAATACAGATGTGACGTCACCCTTTGATGTTGGCGTACCATTATTTCAAATAATCGTACGGGCAACTTGCCAATAGTACTTTATTCATACCAGTGAGATATTGGACTAGTGTGACGTAAAAGCTCGTGCGGAGTGTCAGTATTTTAAGACGTTTAATGGTCTCGAGCTTACGACATTGCGTAATATATTGTAAAAACATTCGGGCCGTGTTACAATATATTACTTAATGTCTCGCTCTCGACCATTAAACAATACATAATTATATTTATAATATAGAGTTGTAGATATTAAATATTTGATGTATGTTCTCTTTGTTAGCCTATATAATCTGAGTAGTATGGGTAAGATTTTCTATTTCTATCCCAACCTGCTTACTAGAAATTCCCTATTTTATTTTTATACTAAAATACTAAACTAATATTCGATCATATTGCCAGAAAAATCATAAATTTAAAGAGCCTTTGCGTGGAAAAAATAATTTTGGTTTGACGTGATTTGTCTATCTATCTGAAGAGTCCAGGGGAAGAACGATCTAAGTCACATTTTTGTCTTTTCGCATAAAAGGCAAAACAGACTTTTGGACGAGAATGCTTGACACGAACAGAACGACGAGTGGGTTTAATTACAACTTCAAAATGATGTTTAATACAAATCATAATTACCAGTACAATACTAAGGTAATCCTCGATCATATCGCCAGCAAAACCATAAATGTAAAGAGCCTTTATAGAACTTTAAAGATCTTCGCCAATCGGTAAAAAAATAATTTTGGTTTGTCGTGATTTGACTATATCTAATTTCTATACTAAAATACTAAACTAATCTTCGATCATATTGCCAGAAAAATCCTAAATTTAAAGAGCCTTTGAGTGGAAAAAATAATTTTGGTTTGACGTGATTTGACTATCTATGCTAAAATACTAAACTAATCTTCGATCATATTGCCATAAAAATCCCAAATATAATGAGTGCTTAGCGCTTTAACGGTCTTCGCCAATTGGTGAAAAAATAATTTTGGTTTGACGTGATTTGACTATATATCTAATTTCTATACTAAAATACTAAGGTAATCCTCGATCATAATGCCAGAAAAATCATAAATTTAAAAAGTCTTTATAGAACTTTAAAGATCTTCGGCTATCGGTAAACATAATTTTGGTTTGTCGTGATATGACTATATATTTTTCAGTATCTTTTATACTATTTTCACGTGAAATGAAATGAAATGAGTTTTAACGTCCTATTGGGCTCATGACGATGGGCACACACCATATCGTGTGCAATGAGCGAAATTTTGCCCGGGCAGCGGCACTATGACCTACTCTTATATCGAATTCCAACTGCCCAGGAATCTTTAACTGCACGCCAATGTATACTAGGGATCTCGGTTTTTCGTCCTATCCGAACGACTAGACAGCTGTCCTTGTCAGACCCTTCGTCCTGCACCACTGACAAGGGGAAACCACGTCGGAAAATCCTGATGAACTTTCTCGGCCAATGCAGGGATTGAACACCCGACCTCACATAACTTGGATTTTCTGTGGATGACCAGGGGCCTGTTTCACGAAATTTTAACTAAAAATAAAATCCAAATTTTAGTAGATACTTCAGTTTTGATTGGCTAAGCACTGAAATCAATCTAATATTATCCTAGCAAATTACTAAAATTTGGATTTTATCTTAGTTAAAATTTGGTGAAACAGGCCCCTGGTTCATGATTTGTAAAAAGGAATAAAACAACATTCTTACTTAAATATATATATATTTCAGCTTTTTCATATAGCGAATTTTTACAATTTGGTTATTTTGTACAAAAATATTCTATATATATTATCATCTTCAAGTATTTTTTTTTATCGTATTTATAACAGTGATTCATACAACCTGCTACCTCATAATGTTATGATATTTTTCTGACAACATATGCAGCGCCATATAATGTCTGGATTCATATATATATTTGAAGTTACATTCAGTTTTATTGAATGGATGCACAATAAATACTTCTCAAAATTCCCGAAGTATACAAAGTGTTTTCGACTAAAATCGTCGATTTAGGACTTTAGAAATGTCGGTCAACTAGTTTAGTGTCTGGTCTCAAGCCTTAGTTTAGTATGATATTAGTAGGATATATGTATATAATTTAGTGCCTGTTCCCAAGCCGTAGTTTAGTATGATATTAGTAGGCTATGTATAATTTAGTGCCTGTTCCCAAGCCTTAGTTTAGTAGTATATTAGTAGGTTATGTATAATTTAGACGCTTTAGATAAGAAGCCTACTTATTTATACTTAGATCAATCAGTTACTGCTCTATTTCTCCTAATATTTATACCCTGTATGCATTTATTACTCACCTCACAAATTTGTTCACAATATTCATACCGTTTATAACAAAACTGATAAAACAAATCAACGCACAAATTAATTTGAAATATATTCCACATTTCTTATCTTTATCTATCTGCTTAAAATTCAGATCTATATTTCGTTTCGTTTTTTATACTTTCAATGGCCTACACTACATGGAGATCTGACCAGTTGTACTGGGAGGTCGCGTCAGGGGTCATACGATGTCAGACATTGATTAATCAACCACGCCAAGAACTCGCCATAACAGATCGTTTCATTGACCAATTCCTCACATCAACTAGAATGCCTGTTATATAACAACTCTTCCAGATCCCAGTGTTGTGAAGACAAGTAAAACGAAATTTTGAACTATAAAAAAACGAAACGAAATAGGATCCGTGTTTTAATCAGATTGTATCTTTATGAAATACAATTAATTAATTTAATATGAGGAACGTTTTCAACAATGATTCACTTGTAATTATCAAGTTTTTATTGTATTATATTTCGTTCAACCAATTACTAAAATTACACTTAAACAATTTGATATTTCCTATGTTGAATGAATATCGAATATAAAAATATAAATACAGTTTTTGATCAATAATTATTGTCTGGTTTGTAGTTCAGAGAGAACAAGATAAGCTGCGTTTTAATCCATGTGCGGGAGATAGTGAATGTCCGAAATCTAACCGTAACCCGGAGGGGGGGGGGGGGTGTTGTCGAATGGTTAACGCGTGTGCGTTGCATCATAAGGTCTGTCATTGAGTCAAGTGGCGTGGTTTCGATTTCAATTCCAACCTTGCCTGTGCCGAATAGATTTGTTGAGGAACAGTCATGCCAAGTTTCATGGCGATCGTACTTGATTTGTCTGGACCTCGGCTTCATTCGAAGAGCCAAACTTATACATACCGTTTGTAATTTAAACATACATTATGCAAGAGCTAAATATGCCTATTAGGGGTCTTTCTTTAGGCCTGAAATGTTATATTAATTATTAATTAGACATTGATTAACTTTTCCAGACCATAATCAACTCTCGATGCCATTGGATATTTCCAATATAAAGTAGATTAGAAGGGTTCAGCCATATTTTGATTTAGTTTAAAAATGGAGAAGCGAGACTTAGCTTCGAATAGCCAGTACTGTGGTTACAATTAATGCACACATCTTGTCAAACCTTTAAAGGCTATAATATCGTCACTCGCTATAGAGTAATTTGAATGAAATTTTCAATACATTCATTTTGCATTATCTTTTTTCGAACTATTATAGCAAGAATGGCTAGCTCTTTATCAAAATTTACAATAACATAATGTATCTTTAATATAAAGTATGATTCACAAAACTACCTCGAATTAGCATTTTCAATTAACATATTGTAGGCATGTTTATCAGTAGGCCTAACTATATTCAGTGAATGATGTTTGTATTGTGAAATGGTGATTCACAACAATTTGCTGTGTTCAGCTTATCTATAAAATTAGGGTTAAGTTAAAAATCAGTATTGAAACGCTCGGACATGTGAATCAAGGAAAGACATAGACCAAATCAATGAGTGAATGCCGCTCAAAAAGTGTAATAAACCATAGAAATATATTTCTATGTAATAAACCGGTATCTTTAATATTACGTCGACAGCTAGTATAGGGGAGACAACTCCTAACTTAAATTATGGAGTCGAGCCACTAAATATTTTAGTAAATTCTCATAAATTCTCACCACAAAACGAAGTCTTGTATATAGATACTTATAATTTGATTAGCAAATAGGTGAGAGAGAAATGGGGTTTTACGTCCACTTGACACAAACTAGGTCATTTCGGGACTAGCACATGGTTCAATTTTTTATTTCAATAATTCGCTTGCGCGTAGAGGTCTTTAGCAGTGGGAGGAGAACGGAGGACCCTGAGAAAACCCACGAGGTTGGACAGGCGACCCTACTCCTTGTCACGTACAACCGGGGAATCGAAATCCCGTCAGTTGACTCAATGACAGACCGTATGATACAGCGAGCACGTGCTAACCATTCGGCCATCCAACCACCCGATTAGCAAATAAGATCACGTGACCCGAACACCACCCTTAAAGAAAATTTGCCACATGTCAATGCAGTACAATAGAACAAATAAATAAATAACTAAAAACAAAACGAAACTAGATTATCATCTGTTTTAACCAGATTGCATTTTGGAGAAAATGTATATGACATAGTTACTAAATTATCGAATATCTTTAGCATATTACACTTTGATGTCACTTTCAATTCTAAAAAATGCATTATGAAATAGTTACTTAAAGAGACATTATGTAAAAGTTAAAAGTTATAGTTTGCTTCAAATGTTATATATATATATATATATATATATATATATATATATATATATATATATATATATTATGAAATAGTTACTCAAAGAGACATTAAATAAGAGTTAAGTCTGCCTATTGCAGGTCTTTATCTTAGCTTCAAATGTTATATATATATTATTATTTAGACATTTATTCACCTTACAGCCCTATAATCAAGTCTCTAGAACATTGGATGGCCGAGATTTGAACACCCGCCATTTTTCAGACATTTAACGATTATATAGATAATGTAGACTTACGATTATAAACAACCTGGGCTACATCGTGTCAAAACTTTAAACACATATTTCTTCTCCCACTGCTAAAGTCCCCTAAGCGTAATCGAATTATTGAATTAAAATTGAATCACATATTAGTACGTTAACCCCCCCCCTCTCTCTCTCTCTCTCTCTCTCTCTCTATTAATACATCTTTAATTACTGAATTATTCGAATATTTTTAACGTAATATACTCAACTTTTGATTCCAGAAAATGCATTATGAAATAGTAACTAAACTATTAGAATATTCTAAACATCGTGATAATTATTCTGCCGAATTATGTGCATGAATGAAGATAGAAGACATTAATATTTAAACAATGATAGTGTTTTCCTTGTCAACTGATTATTCATAATGAATGATGAGGAATTAATACTATAGGGCAACACTATTATGTTAGTCAGATTTATACGATAAGAAAAAGAATACTTCAGTTTTTTAGTTCCGTAATAAGGTACGCACACTATTTTTACACTGCCTGCTATAGTTAATTTGTGTACCTCATTTATTATAAAAATCATTTTCATTTCAGCGACGGCACATCCAAGAAAAGACTTAAAAATGCCATTACCGCCAGTAGTAAGTATGACCATTTATGGACTTCTTATTTAGTTATCCAGTATATACTGGACATTTGAAGTGATGCATGTATTGGGTGTAGGGGGTGAGGAGATCAGGGATCTGGGTGCGTTACGTGTTACCTTTAATATCTGTATTAACTTTGTAATAGACTTAACACTTTATATTGACTTTGTAAGTCGCGAAAACCTATACATGGTACCCGAGTAAATGACGCAATTGAAATAACGCCAACGTTATTTGGATATCAAGAATTAAAGGAGCTAAATCGCTAATATTTTGGACATAGAAATTGATACAAATGGATCGCAACACATATAATTGTAATATGAATGTATATAAACTGAATTACATTCAATCGTTTCTGTTTTTACTCTAATTTCTATTCAGTTACGTTTGGCGAAATACGCCAGAAATCTCAATCACATTCCAATCTCTAGCGTCTGGTTAATCCAGTCGATACCGATAGTATTTATTGTGCATGATCTCCAGATAGGAATATGGCATCATCGTTTGACATGACTTGTGGAATATGTATATCCTTCTTCTTCGAGTCCGTTGTTACAAATGGCACTGAAACGCATTATTTTACACGAGTCGTTTACCAATGTTTATTTTGTCTTAAATATTGGATATCAGAAGCCCATCTTTTCCCGGTAAGATCACAACATCCATGCTGATTTAAATTGACAGATAATTCGTGTTTTCAATGTCGAAGATTTTGGATGATATTGATTTAGAAACATAGCTGCTTTAACTCGTGTATGACTTAATATTAAAAACGTAAAACAGTTAGTTTTTTAATCAGAGTATTCGCACTCTTATATTCTTGTAGAAAACTTGATATCATTTCCAGATTTAGTTGAGCAGTTCACACAGCACAGGGTCTACTGATAAAATTTGTACGTTTGAAGAATTTGACTATGAGTGAAATTTTGCCCGGACAGCTTTTATATCGAATTCCAAGATGTCAAGAGTCAGAGGTTTTTCGTACCACCCAAACGACTGGGCCCTGACCTGGCCAGGTCCTCCGTACTGCCCCACTGACATGGGGAAACCACCCCGGAACTTTGTTTTGAGACTATTCTATATTTGTACTGACTTCTTGAACATATTAAATGGGCTAATGAAGACGGGCATACGCCATACAGTGTGCTATGAGGGACATTTTGCCCGGGCAGTGGCACTATGGCTTACTCTTATATCGAATTCCAACTGCCAAGGGATATTTTACGTGCACGCCAATGTAAACACGGTACCTCGTTTTTTTGTCTCATCCGAAGGACTAGACAGCTGTCCTTGTCAGGACCTCCGTCCTGCATCACAGACAAGGGAAACCACGCGGAAAATCTGGATGAACTTTTCTCGGCCAATGCAGGGATCGAACACCCAACCTCCAGGTTAGCGAGCCAGCGTTCGAGCTTAAGACATTGCGTAATATATTAAAACAACACTCGTGTTGTTTCCATATTACCTAATGTCTCGCTCTCGACCATTAAACCACACCTAGTGTACGAGACAGGGTGTGCTGTGTGTTTATGTGATGTATAACCTTGTACATGTATATTTTCAGCCAGGAAGTAATCCTCCAGCACTTCCGCCTCGTCGAAATGTTCCTCCACCACCACCACCAGCGTCACCATCTCCACCACCACCACCAGTTGCAGAGGTAAACATAACTTCAACCTATTCATTGAATGGCATTTAGTAATTGGAACATAATTTAAAAAAAACCACTATTTATGGATAGCAATTACTAAGGTTATTTCACAGCGACGTTTCAACAAGATTTCACATCAAATAACACACACTATTTCTGGATAGCAATTACTAAGGTTATTTCACAGCGACGTTTCAACAAGATTTCACAATGCTTGATAACGACTTGTAAAATCTTGTTGAAACGTCGCATTGAAGTAAATCATAGTAATTGCTATCCATAAATAGTGTGTGTTATTTGATGTGAAATCTTGTTGAAACGTCGCTGTTATTTGATAACTTCGATCTGTTTAAAATACAAACCTATATTTCGTTTCGTTTTTTTTAATACTTTCGATGGCCTCCACAATATGAAAATGACGTCAGACATTTGATTAACCATTCAGCGTTGATGTTTGAAGTGGGTATTTGAAAATACAACTTTATCTTCGCTGTATACCCACAGTTCCGTGCACCGCACGCCAAGAACTCGCCCAATAGACCGTTTGATTGGTTAATTCCTCACATCAAGCAGAACACGGGTTATATAACAACTCTTCCTGATCCTAGTGTAGTAAAGACTATAAAAAAACTACTATAAAAAACGAAACGAAATAGGATCTGTGTTTTAATCAGATTGACATGACTTTTATTTTAAATCTTGCCCTCTCAATTTATAAACGTTCTTTTTCTATTTGAATTCAAGCAATATTCATTAATACAATGTGCATTGATTTATTCATTCATTCATTCATTCATATAAACAGGATTATGAGGAGCCAACTATTCCACCCCGTGAACCACATAATATTATTATAACTGTCCAGGTAAACAACGAGTGTATATTTACGGTGTAAAGTTTTGTCCCATTAGCCCCCAATGAGTATATGTTTATATTTACGGTGTAGGGTTTTTCCAATTAACCCCCATGAATAAACGTGTTGTATATATTCACGGTGTAAGTTTTTTCCCATTAGCCCCAAATGAGTATACGTTTATATTTACGGTGTAAGTTTTTTTTTCATTAGCCCCCAATGGGTATACGTTTATATTTACGCTGTAAGGCTTTTTTCCATTAACCCCCAATGAGTATACGTTTATATTTACGCTCTAAGGTTTTTTCCCATCATCCCCTAATGAGTATACGCTTAGTATATATTTACGGTGTACATTTAGTGGTTCATTATGGTTTTGCTACTTCAATAAGCACGCTGCAAAGATGGCTAGAATGATGGGTTCTAACGGGTCCAGTTATAATATGTTTACTATTTCAATAAGCACGCTGCAAAGATGGCTAGAATGTAGGTTCTAACGGTTCCAGTTATAATATGCTGCTATGTTTTTATTTCATAAGATACATGTAACCTATACTTAAATAGTACTAATTCGGTTGGGATCAGTCGGTGTTGGTATTCCTAGGGCTTGCGTGGATTAATTCTTCTATAAAGTGTTGGGTATGGGTGGTATTTTGGATGTTCCTATTTTTAAAGGTTAAAGGGACAATAACACTCTTGCTGGCTTGACAGCTCCAGAAAATAAAAAATAGCCTTATTCCAAATACTAAATGTGTTAGTGTCCTACCTTTTGTGTAAATTATCCATTAAATCCTATTTTACTTGTCCAGAGGGTTCAAAAACATTTGAAAAGCTTTACGTCAGGCTTTTCAAATCATTTAGTTGAATTTTTCCAATTTTTTAAATTAGATGTGTTAACATTTGGAATATTGTAAAATAGTACAATTTGTTGGCCAGAATAAAGATTGGGAGATATTATTCAGTTACAACAAGAGTGGTATTGAGCCTTTAAGGATGTGGGTTGATTTGGAGTTTTATTTTATTGTAAGCATGTTGGTTTTAATGTTTTATACAATCGTGTCCTCCGTGTTGTTATGTGTATATTTTCTGTTATATATGACTTTTTTTTCTATATCAATCTGTATAACCATTCTTCACACAGATAACTATCTAGTGTTCTCAAGTCGAGCTAATTAGTATGATACATGATATGGGTATCTCAGGAAGTCAATTTTTATAAACCCACCTTTCCGTGTGGGCCTATTATGTCGTCATCAGTCAACAATTAACGATTATATTTTTAAATTTACTGTGAAACATTAAGGTCATGAGAGGGCCAACCCTATCGATTTGTAGTGTACCACGACTTCCAGTGTCCGAATTATTTCCATAGGAGTATTAAATACTCATCAATTTTCAGTATTATTTGATCGATGCACACATTATGGGTAAACATTGACGCAAAATTCCATTAAGCTTAACGAAGGCAATGTGAATATGAATTTTAGATATGCATACTAAATGTATAGACCGGGTTGTATCAACGTATAAATCATACCATGTAAAATCTGGGACCGCTCCTTGTAAGAAAAAACAGACAATACTGGGTTCTTTAGATGTTGGTTTAATGCTTACATTCTGTAAATTAATCTACACTTTACCTACGTTCAATAAAAGAGACCGTTTGTCATCGCGAGCGATGGTATTATAACGTACATTGCAAAGAACATTTTGCCGAGGACAAGGTACCCCTCAGGGTTAGAGGAAGTAACTCTGTTTGGCTACTGGATATATGAAAAGTAAACACGAAGCAACCAACCCTAAGCCTGAGGATGCCCTACCCTTGGTAAAAAGTCTCTACCCAAAATTGACTCACCTTTTCTACAAAGTATTGCCCGACCCAGACCAAGCATCTCTATTTAACTTAGTATTTGTATTGATACTACAAAACACAATGCCAGATTTAACTATAGGTTTGGCCATCTTCAATAGAAGGCATGATCTCGCTTTACCTCCGTGCATCTCATCAAGTCCTCCACGTAATACCGTGCATATTTCGTCACTAATTTAATTTCGATTGGCTACTGACCTAGCTGGGGACCTCTCAGATTCCTCATAGAAAATATCATCGCGAAAGCCAAGTCTCGAGCTTTCCAGCTAAAATGTCTACCAGTGATAATCGAGTAGCAAAGTTCAAATTTCGTTCAATTTCAAGGTTTGAGAGTATTTGTGCTACAACTTCTGATTGGACAATGCCATTGTTCACGTGTCTGTGGTAAGTTCGGGAATTTGAGACTAATCTAACAACGGCTAGATATAGTAAAACTCGCAGCCGTTGTTTCAGGAAGATGAGGTCTGGCTGGCTGAAGCATAGTACCTGAAGAACAAGAGGGTCTCCGACCAAGGTGTATGATTTTTTTGTCACTGCCATAAGCCTCGATTACACGCACTGTAGCCTGGAACTTCCCTCATTATCCTCGGTGGGGGAATTGGGAGGGCCTCATAAGTGGAATAGCCTAGGTCCTCTCTTCTCGACACCGGCACTGACAAAACAATTACCGCCCATAGATGGCATAACCAAAACATTTTACTGATTAAGCCTAATTAAAACACAGACCATATTTCGATTCTATTTTTTTATATTTCAATATTTTGTTTTACATGTCTTCACAACACTATCACTATTTTGTGGAGACCATCGAAAATCCGAAACGAAATATAGATCTGAATTTTAATCATATTGTCCTAAAGCTAACTTCTAAGCAATTGTCTACAAATTATGTAGTCTCTTCTATAGACTGATTTAACATCATTATTTCAAATTAAAACATAATATTACCATCTCTTAAATATCCTCAATTTCACTTTTATTATACCATAGAGATGGGGGTAGCCGACTCTTGGCTAGGGTGTCCAAGGTTCGAATCCAGGCATGGCCCGAAAAGACAAAATATTCATATTTCAAACCCGGTTACTTTCTTGTTTATGTTTATGGTTTAATTATGGGATATCCTGGTTATAATTAGGCTACCCTTGTGTGCGAGGTACCTTATTGATAATCAGGCTACCCTTATTTGTGAGGTACCTTGCTGATAATTAGGCCACCCTTGTTTATGAGGTACTTCCGATAACACGATATCACGCTTACACTTTTATAACCAAAATATAACAGAATCAACATATTTATATTTGTAACCGTGTGTCAGTATCATTAACAGTGTAAAAAAACACCCAAAGTCGATCCATAGGCAAATGAATCTTCACTGTCACCTGTACCTGATGATGTTCTGAATTGGAATCATTGTTCTTCAGGTGGTGGGGGGAATACGTCAACAATACAAAACTTTTGACACAGAAATTGCAAGTGGTCAATGATTATGATGATAGTTTCTCCTTACAATCTTGCCGGATTTACAAGGCTACATAGCATTTTTTCAAAATCCCCAAGCACGGATGTTTGTGCGTGTAGGCCCAATAAATTAGACCCTGTATGAAGTACCTTGTTGATAACTATTTAACACTAAGATCTTTTTCAGATTTATATAATCCTTGTATTATTGACAGAACATTTCAGACACGGACGATATTGACTCAAATCTTAATCAGTTAATTCATATAGCCACCAATTAACGTCAATTTTAACCCCTGTGGTCGAAACGCCGGTGGCCGAAACGTCTGTGGTCAAAACGTCTGTGGCTGAAACTGTTGTTAATCACTTATATCTACATGTTATTGACATTATTTATGATACTCCAGGAGGAATATTATGACGAGTTTGATGTGGAAGATGAAAATTCGAAAACAGCACCTACTGTCGACACAGTAAGTCAAAAATTTAATTGAAGTTAGTAATCCTCTGAAACAAATATCTAATCCTCGCCCCATCACATATTAAAATTAGATCAACCCAATTCATTGCTTTATTTTGACATCAATTAAAACAGTTCGAGCTCCTTTAAAGATACATTATGGAAGATTTACATCTGTCTATTGCACGTCTTTATTTTGACACCAATTAAAACAGTTCGAGCTCCTTTAAAGATGTATTATGTAAGATTTAAATCTGCCTATTGCACGTCTTTATTTCGGTTACAAATGCTATATACATTATTATTTAGACATGTATTAACATGACAAGAATATAATCAATTCTCTAGACCGTCGGATGACCGAGATGTAGATGGATTAGAAGGCCCAAGAGATTTATAAATATAATAATAGAATAAATAATCAATGCTCTTAATCTTACTTAAAATACAGATGTGACGTCATCCTTTGACGTCGGCCTACCATTATTTCCAATAATGTACGGGCAACTTACCAATCGTACATTATCTATACTATATGAAATATTGGACTCGCGTGACGTATTTCATTGAAAAGCACGAGCGGGATAGTGTCTGTATTTTAAGTTGTTTAATGGTCTCGAGCTAAAGACATTGCGTAATATATTGAAACAACACTCGGCTAAACGCCTCGTGCAGTATCAATATATTACTTACTGTCTCGCCCTCGACCATTAAACCATACTGAATGCAGCTTTAAATTATATCTTGAAGGTGATTCATGTTAGTAAATTCATGGGAGACGATCACTCGTTTTATTCTAAAAGCACGACGTTTTGAAAAGTATACTCTTATCGTTATCAAGCGCAATGACATTTAAAAACTGTGTTCTGTTAATGGGTTTCCCGACCGCTATTATGCCACCCTGATTATGTTATATATTGTTTCCAAACAGGACGAAGACTATGATGAGTTTGACATAAGTGCTCCAGACGAGGGACCACCAGTTTATGAGGTAACACATCGTAATTTTAACACTCCAGTACGATTAGGAGCCACGGTGGCTAAATGAGTAAAAGAATGAGTTGGAATTTTATGTAGAAGTAGGCCGCAGCGTTGCTGCCCGGACAAAATTTCCCTCACAGCACACCGCATGGCGTATGTCCGTCGTCTTTAAACCAGTCGGACCCGAACAGTAGCCTAGGACGTTAAACCCCATTTCATTTCATTCCCATTAGAATTGGCTGCATCAAGAAACTATGTTATTAACCACGAAACCTGGTATCAGGATATGGTAGTACAACAAAACACCAAAACAATCAATTTATTTCTACTCCCTTTGTTATTGTAATTTGATCGTCTTTTTGTTCTAGCTTGATAACTCTCCGGCGCCATCTCCGCCACCTCTTCCAACTCAACACAGACGGGGACCGCTTCCAAATCCACCTCCTCAGGTAAATAAATGTATATATATTATATACTCCTTATTACGAGAGAGGGAGAGAGAGATAGCAAAAGAGGGAGAGAGAGAAAGCGATAGCAAGAGGGAGAGAGAGAGAGAGAGAGAGAGAGAGAGAGAGAGAGAGAGATCAGCTAGGCAAACTGTATCTACTGTATCTATATCTCAATAATTGTCTTGGTGTAAATGGTCTTTTGTGTAGGGAACCCACTAGGTTAGTTAGGTAATCTAACAATTACTGTCTGAGTCTTGGTAAATTTTAAACGGATTTCTTCGATTATGAACAAACTACTTAACTTTGGTTATTATAAACTTACCTGTGTGTTTGTAATGAACTCCCATTCGATAAAATCCATTGCACAACTAATTATCACAACGATGAAAACAAGTTCTCTCTTGAAAAATTGAAATATCACAAACTTTTCCCAGAGAAAAATACCAATATGGAAGATGGTTACGTCACTCTGCGGAAGATATCATTTCGTATTAGGGGTGACAGCATAGGTCGAAATTCAAGTACAATTACGACAATAATCCATGACCACTCGGACCAAAGACCACTCGGTTGAAGACCAGTCGGACCAACTCATAGACCACTCAGCCTGAACAAATAGACTCCTCGGACCATACAAAAAGACTATTCGGACCCAACAGAAAGTCGACTCGGACCAATAATTAAGTGTTGTTTTAATAAATTGATAATTGCGTTTGTTTTAATATGATTACTCGAACCAATAATAAAGTGTTATTTTAATAAATTGATAATTGTGTTTATTTTAATATGACTACTCGAACCAATAATAAAGTGTTATTTGAATAAATTGCTAATTGTGTGTGTTTTAATATGACTACTCGAACTAATAAAAACGTGTTGTTTGAATAAATTGATAATTGTATTCCAAATCGCAAAATATCGAGAACCACACTTGTAGTCACGTTTAAAAAGGGGCATATAAACGTCCGGTCTTCGTATTATTATGTGCTGTTTATATTAACGCATCAAGGGCGGATAACTTGAAAACGTGTCTCCCCCCCCCCCCATATATAGTAACCCAGGGGTTAGTGGGGTAGAACGGAATGAAACCACTGGGGATACCGCGAATGTGGAAAAAGTAAAATTAGGCTATCAGACAAGAACAGTATACCCGTATATGTTGAAACTGTCAAAAGTCTGGACATACCGAGTCTCATTGCAAGAGTAAAGAAAAATTAGATTGATATTTTTTTTTGGCACCATTATTAATTAATTTTAAAACTAATCGTTGATTTATTTTCCGTACACAAAATTGAACCAAACAACTCTAAATATACGAATTCCGTATAAGAATTATTTGCTTCTTTGTATTGTGATTTAATAATAAATAAATAGCATATTGTCTAGCCTTATAATATAATTTAATTGGTCCGACTGGTCTTGTTTTGGTCCGACTGGTCTTAGTCCGAGTAGTCTTTGGTCCGAGTGGTCTGGATACCTACGACAATTGGCATTGAGTTTGAGCGTTCGCACACATAACTACCCGCATTCCTGTATTTAGTTACCGTCTTTTGCATTCTACACTGTAAAACTTTTTCCGTAAAATTTACGGACAAATGGCTGGCAGCTAGGTTGCCAACCAATGTACGTAAAAATTACGACACACCGTAAATATATTTTTACGAACATGTCGTAAAAATTACGTCCAAAGATTGGCAACCTAGCTGCCAGCCATTTGTTCGTAAATTTTACGGAAAATGTTTTACAGCTGTAAAAAACTTATGGTATGATAAGCATCAAAAAGACATTTACTTAAGATTTAAAACAGAATTTAATTATTCAAAACAATATAAGATACAATTAATTCCTCAAAAATGCTTCTACATGATAGTTTAAGATATAATAAAAGACCTGAAAATACTGGAAATTGGAGATTACTGTCAGTAAGTAAAGCTAACAACTGCCTTAAAAAAAAAAAACCTGTCAACCACAAATTCATATTTTTAACACATTTGATCAAGAGCAGATTTGATATTACAATATGGAGAATGTTTAGAGATCTAACATATTCTTTGGCTGTCAAGCAGTTTGGTGGTATATTTCAACAAAAACAAAGCTCCTTTCATAATTCTTCATTAATAATAATGAACATTTGTACATGGAATAGTGACGACTTTAAAAAAAAAAAGAGAATTTGTTGCCCTATTAACAAGGGAAATAACTCTCCAAAATATTTATCAAGTTCTCACAAGACAAGCAAACAAAAATTCCCAGCAATTAAAAAATGTTTGTGAAAATTTCCATGGATGTATCAAATAATGGGTAGCAACAAAATATAAATTTAACAATAATGAAATTATCCATTCAAATTCTGGTACATGTAACATTTACATTATAATATTCAAATGAATTTTTTTTATAGTAGAACAACAACATTCTGAATCTATTCTACAAATATATAATCAGTGTGTTACAATAGAATTATCCTCAAATCTTTTTCTAAAATCTTAACCAAGGTGTTGTAATATTTACCTCAAATCTATTATTTAAAACATCAACAACATGAAAGTAAATTATAACAGTAAAACATGATCTAATGAAATAATGAAATCATTCAAAGTTTTGGAATTAATGAATTTGCAGTCTAAATGTTTAAATGAACAATTTAAAATCTAACAATTATTGAACCCCAAAAGTATCATGACTTTAAAACAAGAACAGCATCAATGCAGAATTCCTATTATTCCACCTTAAATGTACAGCTTGTTTCAATGATTAGCTTAATCTCTGTTTGAAAATGTATATCATTAAATTTTGCACAATAACTCTGCCTAAGCATGTACATTCCTTAGTCAGAATGGCATAAATTGATTCAGTCTCGTAGATAAAAATTTAGATGGAACTCGACTACTGACAAAGTTAATGAACCAGTCCCAAAATGAAATGTGTAGATGAGAGTTACACAATTTTAATGTTTATGCAACACGGCCGCATATTTAGAGACAAAATGAACTGAGGATAATTTTACAAATGTACCAAATTGTTGATGGACAAATTAAATGACCAAAAGATTTTTCCATTAAAGTAAACGGACATCTTATCAAAAGTACAATAAGAAGAACAAGTTTAATTAAGAAGATTCATTAAAAAGATTTCTTGCAGTGCGTTTAAAGTCTCATTTACAAAGTATCACTCATAAAAGGGTTGTGGCTCGGTCCCTTATCACCTATTTTATACACACTATGTGCTGGTGTATAAAAACTAACCATAAACTCAATAGGCCTATCCCTAAAGTTTGCATGCATGAACATTATTGCATCATAGGTTGCAACGATACATATCACAGTATTTCTTCTTGGACGTGTTTCCAGCTCCCTAGCCACTGCTTTTCCATCTGACGTTTTTGATTCAAAATGTTCCTATATCCGTGATTTGTGGTTCGCCGGAGGGGAATGTACTTTCAGCGGGACACATGTTTCATTGCCGAAAGCCATCTTTTCTCCTTCTTGTCACATGAACTACAGGGGAGTATTCTGCATCGGATGAAAATGGACAGTTAAAATATCTGTACCATGTTAACCAACCCGTGGTCCAGAATTTAAAGCACCTTGAACCAAAATGTGGCATCTATACCGTCGTATACCTTCTCACAGTACCGGTATATTGTTGCTATTGTTGTAACTGTACTTCATCCATTTAAAGTTTGACAGTTTAGTGATTAGTTATATCACTTTTTGGCACACTCGAGTCTTCCTCTTTTTCATGATTTCTGTGCGTTATCTGGGTTAATTTCAAAAATGCACCTGCAAAACAAATATTCTCAATCAGGTTGTTTCTTATGACATCCATTTCAAAAGAACACATTTTAATTAGGAAAAGGGAGCTAAATGTGCGAGAAAATGAAGTTTCATGTCCACAAACAGGAGACTAAAGAGAGAGAGAGAGAAATGGGGTTTAACGTCCACTCGACACAAACTAGGTCATTTCAGGACTAACATATGGTTTAAATTTTATTTCAATAATTCGCTTGCGCGTAGGGGTCTTTAGCAGTGGGAGGAAACCGGAGGACCCGGAGAAAAACCCACGAGGTTGGACAGGCGACCCTACTCCTTGCCACGTACAACCGGGGATTCGAAACCACGCCAGTTGACTCAATGACAGACTTTATGGTACAGCGCGCACGTGCTAACCATTCAGCCATCCACCCCCCCCCCCCCAGGAGACTAAACATATCACAAATACTATCAGTGTATACTGGAATAACCAGACTGCCATTCAATTTGGACTTATTTCGCCGAGCATAACTGATGGCGACTCTGCACCTATGACAGGTAAATCTAAAAGCAGACTAAAATAGGATTCACCTGTTGCTAATAAGACCTACCCCAAGGTTCAAGCTGGGAGAGAGAAATGGGATTTAACATCCACACACAACACGAACTAGGTCATTTTTGGACTAATAAACATAGAATTTTTTTCAATAATCGCTTTAACCGTAGGTCTTTTATAAACAGTGGGAGGAAAACGAACGACCCAGAAAAAATGAACACGGTTAGTCAGGCAATCTTACTCCTTTCAACGCCACTTGACTCAAAGACATAGGCTTCATTCTGACCTAAGTAAGGCCCATGTTAGACCATGGATCTTATATAAGCTCCATGGTTAGACCATTCGTCCAACCACCCCTCAAATTTCAAGGTCCAAGCAGAGGGCAGGAAGTGTTGGTTTTCATTAACAATGCGCTCAACTCCCAAATTTATTATCTTCAGTAAGTTCAATCTTATAATTTTTCTTTACCGGTAGGGCCTACCTTTGAAAAAATTTTACTAACCCAGAGAAAGGCTGGGTAGCCCACTCTATAGATGACAGGAATGGCACTCAAGGATGCAATAAGCTGTGCCTAAAAAAATCAGTAAAATAAAAAATTAAAGATCATTATCCAGACAATGCATTGACAATTCAATAAATTCTTAATAATGGTTTTCAGTGGTAGGCCTAGCCTACAGACCCGAGACTATGAACTTAATGAAGCCCAGAAATACGTTAGCCCTTCATAGTTCATATATTTTTTTTCTATATCAATGTTATTATTATGTCATCCGAGTAGCCTCAACTAGAACTGAAGCCTCCAAAAACAATGCGAAAAAATATTAGGCCTAGCACTAACACCAGAGTGTATTTTTACTCTGTGCTAACACTAACACTGTGACAGTGTATGTGAGTATCATGTATGTCCATTTGTCTAGAAGTAGAAGAGTCTGTTCCTACTATTTCATAAATCAGTTACCGTACATTTTTACGAATGCTAAGAATCAATCTATGTCAAACAAAGATGTGTCCCTACTGTATACTTACCTAAAACTGCAATGTTTGGTATTGACTGTAGTGTTCAACTATATAATTGTGCTCGATGTTGAGGGATTCCTCTTTGCCGCTAACTAACGGTCTTCGCAGTAATGGCGCCCAGGAAGACCGATGACGTCACTTTAATTTAAACACCCGTATGTCATATTTACGGACGAAATTCTGTATTTCTTAAATATTAACAGACTCGTGTCTGTTATCAGGATAACAGACCTGCGCTGTAGGCGTTTTACAGAAACAAGTCTGTAAAAATTACAGAAAAGGCTTACAGTGTAGTAAAATCTCTGCAAATTTTATAGCTTTACTTTTTGAAATATTTTGTTCTAATTATTTGATTAGCGACTCGGATGGGATTATTTACTTTTGAACACGCATGCCGCACAAACACAACTATACATTCGTTTTACGGGCTTTATCACACTTCGGTCAAAACTGTCGAATCGAGAATTAATGTTCCGCTTCTTACGGGGTCATACGGACATAGTAGCATTATATACCCACCCGGGCACCTAATAGACACGCTGAGGGCTGCCGCAACACGCTTAAAGATGTTACTGAAGCGGTTATTATTCGATCGAAAGAATGCGTATAAAATTAAAAATACACTCAGAGAATTCGGAGGTAAGCTTCATGATCCTTGTTAAATTATTTATAACATAAAGAAGATAGGATATTTATAGTTTATACATGACTTTATTTTTACGAGTATCCATGCAATCAGTGATATTTTAATTGTGAAGAAAATTTGATAGACTGGCGATCAATGGTTTCCATATAAATCTCCTATGTAATTGCCTTCAATTGATATTTTTCGTCGCCCAAACCCATATACGATCAAAATGATCGCGCTGTCAAACTATCTTTCAATGTTAACCAACCCCCGCAACAGGTATATTGGATTCGACCAATACGTCACGAAGACATTGTTGACATCGACTCTGTCGAAATTACAAGTAAATTTTCAAATTTTTCAAGAGAGAACTTGTTCTCATCGTTGTGATAATTAGTTGTGCAATGGATTTTATCGAACGGGAGTTCATTACAAACACACAAGTAAGTTTATAATAACCAAAGTTAAGTAGTTTGTTCATAATCGAAGAAATCCGTTTAAAATTTACGATGGTTCACACAGTAGCTCATGCATGTTTCAAAGAGACATGCTGCTTCGACTGCATACGCCATACATTGTGCTATGAGGGACATTTTGCCCGGGCAGCGGCACAATATCGCATTCCAACTGCCAAGGGATCTTTTACGTGCACGCCAATGTATACACGGAACCTTGGTTTTCGTCCCGTCCGAACCACTGGTCAGATCTCCTTGTCAGATCCTCCGTCCTGCACCACCGACAAGGGGAAACCACGTCGGAAAACCCGATGAACTTTCTCGGCCAAAGCAGAAATCGAACACGCGACTGCCAGGCTAACGAGTCAGTGTCTTATCAACTTAGCCAACGTTGCTCCCTGTTTCAAAGAGATTTTCGCATGTATCAACAACAAACTGTTTCTATGGACGAGAAACGTTGTTTACTGGAACGAAAAATGACCATGCTAATCCCGAAGTGACTTGGTTATGTTGACCTGGCGCTAAACCCCAATTTAAACCTTCTGAACAATTGTTATATAAACGTAGGCTTTTATTTTCCAATTTTATTTCCTTTTCTTGCCGTCTATTTATTATACTGTATGTTTAGTTAAATTTATAATTTGATGGATCTGTCCCTTTTACTTTTCAGGAAGAAGGTAAGTAATATACATACGTATAGATTATGAAACAGGTAACGGTAAATTAGACGGCTATCGTACATTTTGTACACAGAGAACAATAGGCTTCGCGGATATATCTCTCCCCTGAATGGCCGCCATATCCAAAAATTAGCATACTAGTTTGTAATGATGTTCTACACCGTTTCACATCTGTCATACACCCGTTGATTAAATAAACATTTTCAATTTTATTTCATGTAGAGACCAGAGGAAGAACGATCTGATTAAAATACAGATCTATATTTCGTTTCGTTTTTTATACTTTCGCTGGCCTACACTACATGAAGATCTGACCGGTTGTAGTGATAGGTCGCTTCAGAGGTCATATGAGCGGCTGTTGGCCCTATGACGTCAGACATTTGATCAACCAATCAACATTGATTTTTCTAGTGGATTACCCACAGTTCCGTGCACCACACGCCAAAAGCTCGCTGTAACAGACCGTTTCATTGGCTAAACCCTCACACCATCCAGAACACGTCAATGATAACAACTCTTCCAGATCCTAGTGTAGTAAAGACAAGTAAAACGAAATTTTTAACTATAAAAACGAAGGATCTGTGTTTTAACCAGATTGGAGGAAGAACGATCTAAGTCACATTTTTGACTTTTCGCATAAAAGGCAAAATAGACTTTTTGACGAGAATGCTTGTCGCGAACAGAACAACGATTGGGTTTAATTACAACTTCAAAATGATGTTTAATACAAACCATAATTATCAGTAGAACAACTGACTTCCACTTTTCAGCCAGATTAAGGTTAAATAAAGGGTACGATAGACGTATTTGTCCGGGAGGCCATTTCAGAAGGAAGGGCCTTGGTTCGATGTGACTCCGATTGTTTTTACCTGAGTATACAGGTCACAATTCTATGGAATACAATTACTGCTTTTTACTGAGCGACGTTTCGACTAGGCTTCTCTAGTCATTATCAAGCTATGATAAAAAATGAAAATATGACAGGACAATATATACATGTACACCACAATGCTAAGTTAATGATGACAAACCAGGGATGTAACTTAATTACTATATCGGCATCCCTGCATCGCATCGCATTGTGGTGTACATGTATATATTGTCCTGTCATATTTTCATTTTTTATCATAGCTTGATAATGACTAGAGAAGCCTAGTCGAAACGTCGCTCAGTAAAAAGCAGTAATTGTATTCCATAGAATTGTGACCTGTATACTCTAGTTCAATTACTAAATGCCATTGAAACAGTTTATGTTTTTACCTGAAATTGGTTGTTCCACAGAAAGCTTATACAATTTGCTACATATGACTAACATGATACACTCGTTGATGGAGAGAAACCCGATACAATCTCTAAATCTTTTATTTAAACAGTTTACGATGTAGCCGGAGATGACGAGGAGGAAGATGCAAGCGCCGGAAGTTACCACAGTACAGGAGTAGTATGTACATTTCCTTTTTGCAATCACCCGTCTAAATTAGTGTCATCTATAAATTTTCAGAGAATGTACAAATGTCTGAGAGTAAATTTCATCTGAATCAGATGTCATGTACTTAGAAACTCGGTTTGCTCTGTTAAATCTTCATTTGAAATTTAAGAAAAGGTGTTCCCTGCATTTTGATCAGTTCTCTTTTGGTTCTCTGGGACTTCATGTTTCGTATTTAGAGGGGGTTTATTGTCCATTTAACCATGCTTGAACCATTAGAACACTAGGCGCCTAAATTATAGCCATAGACATGTCCGGGTCCCAATTACAGGCAAAAATATCACATCTTCTGGCAGAGATTACACATTTTCTGACAGAAATAACACATTTTCTGGCAGTAGTTAGCTCTGAAAAAATTATACAGCAACACTCCTACTCATATCTCCTCGGTATCAGTATTTCGCCTTGTCATTGGTGCAGAGCCGGGAACTGGCAAGGAAGTGTCTAGTCGTTTGGAAGGGACGATAAACCGAGGTCTCCTGTACATGTTGACGTGCACGTAAAAGAACGCGACGAAAGGCCGCTGCCCGGGAAGAATTCCCCTCATGGCACACATCATGGGGTACGTCCGACTTTATTAATCGGTGTTGTGCAGGAAATAGGACATTAAACCCCATTTAATTTAATTTCCTTTCCGAATCATACAGGGTCCAGTGCACCCATGTTTGTAGTAACAAACGTTACTCAAGTTGAAACAGATAGGAAACGAATGAAATGAAATGAAACCGGGTTTAACGTCCTACTTTACTGCAACAATACACTGTAAAAAATATCCATTGTTTATATGGCCTTTGGCCGAATTCCGTAGTTTAACACTTTTTTTCTGTTAATCGATGGCTTTTTTGGGAGAAATTGTGTTGAACGTGTGAACTATATTAGGGATAAAATATTTTATTCCCTTCTATTATGGACTTAATTGTGTTATTTTACGGAATAAACGGTGGAATGGCCATGAATTTCCGTGAAATTTAGGGATAAAATGTTTGATTCCATTCTATAATGGACTTAATTCTGTTATTTTACGGGATAAACGGTGGAATGACCAGGAATTTACGGATTATTTCTGTTTGCAAATGCAACGATAAGTAATCGTATACATATATAATCATTCCTAATGATTATCATGTTATAGTATTCATTTTAATTTATTAACCATAATATGCAGAATTATATTTTGTAAATTTTGCTATATTACATGTCATGTATAACCAATTTCCATTATTTATAAGATCTATAAAGTTTATTGTTATTCATCATACGTTAATCAGATTGTAAATATTTTCATAAATGTATAAAAATATGTTTTAACGCTCCCTATGTATAGGTTGTATTATCTGGTGATCAAGCACGCCTAAATCCGGATAGTATAACCGATTGCTTAGTGTAAGCCGGTTTGTCTCTATGGCAGAGTTACCTGAAAGCCTTACTGAACAGCGGTTTGTGATACCTTGCTCTCGAATAAGATATCCAGTATTCTTCTAATAGCGGAAAAAGGTTGCGAATAAAGATTGTCTGCGATATGACTTCAGCGGAAGCGGACGTTAAATGAAGCTATTTCACACACGCGTATAAAGTCAATGGTAATTCAATGAAATTTTTATCACTTTCATGCTCGGGAAACAAAAATTACCATGAATGTTTTTTCCGTATTTGAAAATAGAAGGCGTTTCTATAAATTACAGGAAACACAAATACGGATAAAAAATTTCCTGGTAATTTTTATTTCCGGAATTTTTTACGTCTTTTCACGGATTTTTTCGTGACAGTGTAGGGTTAATAAAGACAGGCATACGATATACAGTGTGGTATGAGGGAAGATTTGCCTCGACCGTGTGCTACGGCCTGTTCATATTTCGAATTCCAAAAGGCAGGCGTTCTTTTTACGTGCACGTGAACGGGTACACGTCCCATCCGAACCACTAGACACAATTTCTTGCCAGTCCTTCTGTCTGGTACCACTGTCAAGGGCAAAGAAACAAATTAGATGTGTATCTGATACCAAATAGTTTTACGTACGAACTTTGAAATCTAGTTTCATTATCTTAGATATACATTTAAAATATCTATCTTTTTTCTTTTCCTCAGGCTTCGTCGGGATCAGACGGTAAATATCTTATATTTAAGTGGGTGTGTATGTGTGTGTGTGTGAGAGAGAGAGAGTAATGCATGGTTCAATATTATTTCAACAATTCGCTTGTGTGTGGGGGTCTATAGCAGTGGGGAGGAAATCAGAGGACCCGGAGAAAACCCACGAGGTTGGACAGGCGACCCTACTCCTTGTCGCGTACAACCGAACAATCATTTTATAATGATATTGCATATCGACGTATTGAATGTCGGAAATGGACGATTGTGCTCCATTTCGTTAAATATTTATGTGTTTATTCTAGGTTAACCCCCTCCCCGGCAGCATTAAAATATGTTTATCATAACTTAAACATACATTATGCAAGAGCTAAATCTGATTATTGCAAGTCTTAATTTAGGCTTCAGATGTTATAGAAATTATAAATTAGATCTTTATTTAAACAACAAGACCAAAATCAACTCTGTAGACCCACGGATGGCTGGGCTACAGCTCGGATTTAAATAGGATTTCACTAATTGATTAAATCAAATAAGGGGAAACCTGATGAAAATACGTCAGTTAGATCGAGGCTAAATGATAGAGTGTACTTAGCGAGGCCGCTGTAAAGCGTTTCCGTATGCCATTGAAAACTTTACTTGATAATCGGGATATGTAGGTGGAGTTAACGCCTGTCAATCAAACGATCGGTGAAGGTGAAGACGCATTTCGCTACCATTTCTAGTCAAATATTACAACGATGATAACTATGTTCAGAATAAAGTAATAGCAAGAATGGCCAACTCTCTATAAAAATCTCCCATAATGTATCTTTAAACAAATATTTTTTTTTTAGATCAACCCCCTCCCGTGCCTCCGTTAAATAACCGCAGGCCAAAGCCCAACCCTCCCACACGAGTACCCGAGAAAAAATTTACTCCACCTTCGGTACCCGGAGGGGGTGTTATAGATATACGAGCCATCAGTGAAGGACGAAACAGATTAAGGAAAGTTGATAAACCTCTCAAACCTGCTGAAGAACCAAAGGAAAAAATAAAACCTCTTGTCGTTTTAAAACCAGGTAAGATTTACAGACAATATACTAATTTTTTCATCCTTGTGGGAACAAATGAAATGGGGTTTAACGTCCTACTGTTCTGCTCCTAGGGGGCAAATGAAGACGAATATACGAAATTAAATGAAATGGGGTTTAACGTCCTACTGTAATGCTCCGAGCTGGGTTAATGAAGACGGGCATACGCCATACAGTGTGTTATGAGGGAAATTTTGCCCGGACAGCGGCACTACGGCCTACTCTTATATCGAATTACAACTGCCAAGGGATCTTTTACGTGCACGTCAATGGGTACACGGGACCTCGGGTTTTCATCCCATCCGAACGACTAGACAGCTGTCCCTGTCAGGCCCTCATTCCTGCATCACTGACAAGGGGGAACCACGCCGGAAAATCTGGATGAACTTTCTCGGCCAATGCAGGGATCGAACACCCGACCTCCAGGCTAGCGAGCCAGCGTCTTACCCACTTAGTTACCGTGACCCCAGACAGATATACGCCATACAGTGTGCTATAAGGGTAATTTGGCCCGGACAACAGCGCAATGGTCTACTCTTATATCGAATTCCAACCGCCAAGGGATCTTTTACGTGCACGCTAATGTGTACACAGACCCACCGTCCTGCACCAGTGACAAAAGGAAAACACACCGGAAAATCACGATGAAACTTCTCGGCCAAGACCGGGAGCGAACCCACAACCTCTTACGCACTGAGCCATCGGGGCTACCTTGTAGGAACAATAAATCAGTAAATGATAATTGTATATCAATAAAGAACAATTATTTTCGCATAAATTACTAATCTTTCTAATATTATTTTTTGTATTGTAATTGTTGTTAGTAATTTTATATGACTGTATATTGCGCAACTTAGTGACTAAACGTACATTGCGCAACTGCAGAATTTGAGAGAGAGAGAGAAATAGGGTTTAACATCCACTCGACACAAACTAGGTCATTTCGGGACTAACAGATGGTTCAATTTTATTTCAATCATTCGCTTGCGCGTAGGGGTCTTTAGCAGTGGGAGGAAACCGGAGGACCCGGAGAAAACCCACGAGGTTGGACAGGCGACCCTACTCCTTGTCACGTACAACCGGGGAATCGAAACCCCGCCAGTTGACTCAATGACAGACCGTATGATACAGCGCGCGCGTGCTAACCATTCGACCATCCAAACACCCACAGAATTTGATGACTACATGTATATTGCGAAACTTAATGACTATTAGTACATAGCGCAACTTAATTATCAGATGTATTTTGCTCAATTTTATGACTACACGTATATTGCACAACTTGATGCCTATATATTGCAGCTATAGAGATTTTGAGAAACGAATTGAATATGTTTAATATTTTGGTGATTACCTTCTTTTCCAGAGAAAGTTACCACAAATTCTCCAAAACCCACCCCGCCATCAAAGCCAGGTCCGCCATCATCATTTTTAAAAAAGAATATTTTTAAGACTTTAATGTCTTCGATAAATAAAGATAAAGATCTCCCCCCTATCCCACCTTTGCCTCCAGTGAAAAATAATACGTCGCCACATAACCCAAATATAAGCAAATCAGAAGACACGACACATTCTGATGGTGTAAATGACGATCACGTAACAAGTAGTAGAGAACCTGTGAGTTGAACTGTGATGCGCATGTTTTGTAGGCCTTGCACGTGATTTATATGGATGCGGTGGGGTTTTTTTATCTGGTGTTTTTTTTTTATTATCCGTTACTGCATACTGGTGCATTTTTGAAAATATCAAACTTTGGTATATGGTAATAACTAAACGTAATCTTGTCGTTCTTGCTCTTGTCCTTTTCCTTATATTTATATTTTCCCGAACAAAATTTGGAGGTTTTCATTTGTAGGTAAAAAGAAAACCCTCCAATTTTAGAATTCACGCAACGTGGCTTTACAATGCAATGGCGGATTTTATAATTATACTGCATCTGCCAATCCATTGCCGAGATATAGTCGTTCATGTTAACGTTCAATTTACGGGTAATTCTCAAGGAGTTCAATAATCACTGGTGGAAATACTCCAGCAATACTATATACCGGAAAACAACCGGAAAACACAGGAAAACAACCGGAAAACACCATTGTATACTGAATACCGAAAAACACCGAAAAAACACTAAATACCGGAAAAAACACTAAATACCGGAAAATACCCTAAATAAGTAACCCGGAGACTGGCAGGCTAAATAGGTAACCAGGAGCCTGGTCCTCTGTGTGCCTGGGTTAGGGTTAGGGTTAGTTTCCGGTTTATAGTATAGCCCTTCTCCGGGTTACCTATTTAGGGTGGTTTCCGGTATTTAGTGTTTTCCGGTGTTTTCCGGTGTTCCGTATAATATGGTGTTTGCCGGTAGTTTTCCGGTGTTTTCCGGTATATAGTATAGCTCGAAATACTCTACTCTGGTTAGGCTAGTGCTTTTAATTTCAACAATTAGCCGATTCTTTCGGTTATTTGAATATGACATTGTTTAAAGAAAAATGAATAAATTTAGGTTCCGGGTTAGAGTGCTAACACCCATTTTAAACGTCCGTGATACATAAATAAATTTTAGTCCTAATTGACTACAGGGAAGGTTTAAATTATTTTCATAATTTCAGTACGATTTGCTTGCTGTTTTCTTTTATGTGTGTTGTGGTTTTTATATGCTTTTCAGTACTTCCAGTGAAGCCAATTGTCAAAAATACGGAAGCAATAAAACAGGAATCAGCTAGCATTCAAGAGGAACCGAAAGTTAAAAACTCGTATAAGAAAGTTCAGTTAGATACCAAAAAACCGAAAATACCTGAACCCGAGGTTCCTATCAGTGTTCCTTATTCACCATGTTCGATATTCCGCTTTTTTTCTTTTGTCCTTTTTCTCTGTTGTTTTTGCTCTTCACCACCTATCATCTTATCAGACACTGAGTCTAAAGTAACTATTCTACACTAACTAGCTTTCGTCTTAAACAATATTAAGCTACGTACGTGAGCATTTCACATGTCGAAATCATAGCCAACAGGAAGAAAACGTTATCTTCATTTAGCTATATACCGACTCTTGTATTCCACATTTTTAAAGACGTGTCTTTATATAATTATGTTATGCGCTTTAGTTTCAATCGGATTAAAATACAGATCTATATTTCGTTTCGTTTTTTTTATACGTTCGATGGCCTCTACTGCATAAAGATCTGACCGATTGTGGTGGAAGGTCGCGTCAGAGGTCATACCAGCGACTTTTGACCCTATAACGTTAGACATTTGAATAACTAAGCAGCGTTGATGTTGGTAGTGGGTACCCACAGTTCTGTGCACCGCACGCCAAGAACTTGTCGTAACAGACCGTTTCATTGGTTAATCCCTCACATCAGCCAGATCGCGGGTTATATAACAATTCTTCCAGATCCTAGTGCCGTGAAGACAAGTAAAACGAAATTTTGAACTACAGTATAAAAAAAACAAACGAAATAGGACCCGCGTTTTAATCAGATTGAAGGTAGCCCAGCCACAACACACAGCCATATAAATCAATTTGTTTCGTTCAAGTAAGGCAGAACATATATTTCTGAATTGTAAATAACCCTCTTATCTCGATCGAAAAAACGCATGTTTGGTATTTGACCGTTTGGTTATATAGCAAAACAAAACTACCGTAACAAAACCTGTTGTTGTTGAGGTGTGAGAAAATAATAAAGTAGGGAACCGGATATCACTAGTGTATTAATAAATATTATTTAGTTAAATCCATTGGTAAAATAGTAATTATTAAGATTTAAAAATTGGGATTGGATTTACACTGATATAGGGTATCATGAAACTGTCTGAAATGTATTATTTAGTTTAGATTGCTAATTTGCTTTATTTATATGCTAACATATAATATTCTGCTCAATGCTTTTTTATTCGCCCGTAGGACCAACGTTCACTTCTGTCTGTCTGTCTTTCCGCCCGCCTATTCGTCCGTTGACCACCAACCACTTACATTTTCAACTTCCAATTCATGCCCGGTAATCTAATGTGAACTAAAGTTAAAGATACATTATATAAGATTTAGATAAAGAGCTGACCATTCTTGCGATACTAGCTCAAAAATAGATAATGTACAATGAATAATTTGAAAAGTTTGACAAGACGTGTGCCATAATTTCAACCATCAGACTGGTTCTTCGAAGCTAAGCCTCGCTCCTCCATTTTAGCTTAAATCAAAATATGCCATCGAGAGTTGATTATGGCCTGGATAAGTTAATTAATGTCTAATTAAAAATTTAGAAAACATTTCAGGCCTAAAGAAAGACCTGCAATAGACAGATTTAGCTCTTGCGCAATGTATGTTTAATAGTTTGAGAGGTGCCCATGGGAAATGTGTCTTTGCCCCTTAGGTAGAGCTGTGGATCTTAAATTGCTAAAAGTTATTCAATTACCACTGAATGAACATTTACTTTGTTTATAAATAAACGTAATTCAGAATTGTTCATAAAACAGAATTGTTCATAAAACAGAATTGTTCATAAAACAGAATTGGATACCTGTGGTATAAGCTTGAGTATGAAGTTAATTTTTGAGTATTTAATGTAGGAACATGTTATAATTGTAGAACATACTCTTAAAGAGCTGTAGCTGTTATCAATATTCATATTCTTAACATTGCTATACGCCTTCAATGTATATTTCAGCTTTGGGTGATATACTACCCTTGGAACTCTTTTTGAATATTTTATTTATCTTGGATATTATATAGTAAGGGCAAACACCGTTATTAATGTATATATGAATATTATTTGTCTTTGATTGTTTATTATAAAACAGGAAAATTACCAATTACATGTCAAAACTATATTTCCTGATGACTTTATTAAAGCACAATATTAAATCTCAAAATAGCAATAATAATATCAGTAAACCTCATTTTTATTATTTATTTATTTTTTATTTATAGACATTCTTGCAATTAACAATTTAAATTTTGTTTTTATCTTATAATTGATCTGTTAAATTCTCAATGATGGCATTCGTATAATCTGTCAATCAGTTTATGTTAATTTCTAAATGAAGAACAACGTATAATCTATCTGTTAATTTTTTTTTTATGAAGTAATTCTTATTTAAATTAATGACTACATTCTTATAATTTATCAGTTAATTTGTGTTTTAAATCAAGGAATTTCGTATTTTCTATAATTTTATTATCCTTTTGTAATGAGAGAATTCCAATAATATATTAGTATATGTTAATTTCTCAATGGCGGCTTTCTTATAATTTATGTTTTTGTTTATGAAGGAAGTCAATACATCTGAAGAGGATGATTCACAAGAGATATATGATGAATGTGTATCAGTATCAGATCCACTAGCTAAATTTCCATGGTATCATATGAACGTAGACCGTGACACAGCAAATGCTAGAATAAAAAAAATAAACAAGGTCAGTTGTATTTGTTTAAAACCCTATGTATATATATATATATATATATATATGATACACGGTTATTCACAATTCGCATTTGTCTATTCGAGTGAACTTTAAGGATAGATATTCCACGGATGGCTTTTTTCAAAACTGATATTGTCACTGTAATCGTCAATTGATATCGTCATTGTAATGCTACTACTTGATATACACCTATATCGTCACTGTAATGAAATCACTCCATATCATCACTGCAATGATACCACTTGATATCGTCACTGTAATGATATCACGTGATATCGTCACTGTAATGATACCATTTGATATCGTCACTGTAATGATATCACTTAATGTCGTCCCTACATAGCGTCACTGTAATGATAACAGTTGATATCGTCACTGTGTAACAGTATCTTAGTGATAACAGAGACCAGTTTTATTTACAACAGGAACAGAATACCAGTTACATCGATACAAGACTACACTACATCGGGAACTATAGATACACCAGGAACACATATAACAATATTAAATCCACCATTCTGCCCCTCTGCCAAGGCAGCGGCTGAACTCGGGCGAGTCCATCCGCCTGTCTCTGCTCTTCTCTCCTCCTCCCCGCCCGTCTGTGGTCGTCTCTAGCCGACTGCCTAACTGTCAGCAAACTCCTCGTTATATACCTTCGGACACATGGTCATACGGGCAATTGTCTCTTTTATCTCGTCACGGCATGCTTACTGGCCAGTAGGTATATCCTTTGAAGTAAAGCGGAGCGTGTGCAAAGACCATATGTAGTTTGTAAATGACATATGGGATTAATTAAATGTTTAATTAGATCATCCCCATTCCGTGCCTTAACAGAAGTTGATACAGAGTTAAAAAGTCAATATCATATATTATCAAAACCAGCAGAGGTCATAAAGTTATATGCACCTAAATGATCGTTCAATTTGATGAAAGGTATAGATCACTTTGTTACAACTGTAATTGTACCACTATATATCGTCGCTGTAATGATACCACTTGATATCGTCCCTACATAGCGTCACGTCACTAGTAACTCCTTGTGATTCAATATAAACATAGGTTATACTTAAGTTTGATTTTGAAATACCAGAAAATATGTAACCGTTGCAGGTTAGTTTAGGCCAGTCACCCCCCGATGAGTATTTTCCACAGATATAATTTTATTTTTCTTATTTATTTTAGGACGGTACTTTCCTTATTAGGAACAGTGGAAGAAGTAAAACCACGAATACAAGCCATCCGTATACACTTTGTGTGCTTTATGAAAACAGAATACGGAATCTAAAGATCAGACAACGATCTGATAAAAAATTTGCCCTTGGGGAATACAAGGATAATGAAATGGTATGTATTTGATATGGCAAAACCTGTATGCACTTTTCATTATTAAAATATTTTATTGAATGTTTGAAAATCGGCTATTGCACATACGATATACACACGAATGTGATACGATTTAACGTTCTTTCAAAGCAATCATCTGATGTCTGATTTTTAGTTTATAAGGTCGCATGGGGACATCACTCTTAGAACAATGGAGGAGGAAATCCATGGAGTTATGTCAGCGACTCTGGTACTATATTTCCACCAGTTACATATAGGTAGATTTATGATTTGCGGCTCCTTGCCTCATTCTCTCCGGCAAGCCTTCTCTAACTTCTGTGAGTGAAGAGGACCCATAAGGAGATAGACAGTCACCCTTTAACTGTATCTGTGTTTGCCGGGCTCTTCTTGTATAAATATTAACTATATTGTAAATAAAATAATAAATATATTTCTGTTTTCAGACTTTTGACTCTATAGAAAAATTAGTAGAAAACCACCAGAAAAATGATGTCCTATTAATTGGAAAACAACCAGGAAATGTGAAACTTCTTCATGTGGCTTCTAATCATTAAGGGTCGTATTTGACCGCGGGAATTAAAAACCACCTCACTGTCCTTGTGATTGTATTTAACTATGTTGAATATATTACTAAGCTGTCTCTTTTTTTTAAATTTCGAATCGAAAAGGTCAGAAGATTTGGCGTACCCAAAAACAAACCAATGTCTTTGTTTTTAAGTATTTTTAATTACCATACTAAACTATCTTACTAAGCGGTCTCAGCCATTGTTTATTGTAAATATTGATGTGAAGAGGTCACAATAAATTTAGCTCCTCGAAATATAGAAAAACAACCAACAACCAGTGTCTTTGCTTTTGTATTTAACTATTTTATATTAGCACATTACACTAATTTACTTAGCTGTCGCTGTAATTTCTTATTGTAAATATTGATTTGAAAGGACACTGTAAATATTAAAATATATTCATGATGTTAATATTCATTTTATATATAACATTTTTTTTTATTTTAAATAAACATTCCCATTCCCTTCAATTCATATTTGATATTGGTGATATTCAAAGAGTAAACCCGTAAAGAAGAATAATGCAACTTAAGTCAGATTTATAAACAATTATCGCAATTAACTGTTAGTATGCCATTTGGTCTTATTTATGTCCCTGCTAAATATTACAATTTAATTTATTATATGATAGGGTGACCCACCATAAATAAATATCTCCATATATCTCCTTATATCTCGACAATTACGCCACAATATTTATATATATGCCAAGCCTCAAATCAGTTTCACACAATTATAGTCACTAAATAAACGATCATGTTGTACTTAATAAGCTATGACCATTAATCATCTATAAATAATAGACTGAAAACTGGTTCCAAGTGTCGTCCATTACATCCAGACACTTTTGAGTAAAAGATAGGTTACGTGCCCTTGTTTTGAAATTAGTCTCGCTTAACCAGTCTATCGACCATTCTACGTCTGATTGACAGGTCGGGATAATCAAGACTACTTTTTTACGAAACATAACAGAAAGCTAGAACAAGAAATTGAATTTAGAAATAAGCACGTTAGGTAGCTCAACAATCGTTTTAAGAACCTTGTAAAAGTAAAATGAAACTACTGCAAGTATCATGTTCCTGTCTAATCCGAGTGATTCAGAGATATTATTTGTACTAAACCAAAAGATGCCGCTCTTAACGGTACAGTTAATGATAAAGCGATTTAAAAAATGAAACGAACGTAATTTCTAAATCTGCTGTAATAACCAAGAAGCTTAATTTCACTGCTATTCAAAATCGTCAACAATAAATTTTTTACGGCTGTAATAGTTGATAGATTTGTAGAGAATTGCACGTGCCATGGCTATTTATAGTATCATATTGTCAGAAAGTTGGTCTCGGCACGGCGAATGTGTACGCTTCAGTGGTAGTCTCGAACTATCAGCGGTGGACTTTATTTCTGTAGAGCACATGGGCCACCCTATATATGATATCAATGTTTACAAGTCTTACACTTCAAATGAAATGTTAAGTTTGGCAACAAACCATTGTAATTGCATAAATAAATGTATACCTCCACTAAAACTAACGATTCTGATTCTTTATGTTCAAATATTTATCATGCATTAGCTGTATTTCAGTTTCGACAGACTTTACCGTGTCTTTCATTTATTCTTGTAATCGTCCGTTTAAAGAATGCTTTGCTCAAAGATAATCAACCTTCATAAACCGATGTTGGTCTTTGCAGTGAATATATTTATTTATATTATGTATTTGCATACTCCCTATACCCGCTGTATAAAAAAGTTGGTGGGTTTCTGCTGTTTGAAAATATGTACACCTCTGTACCTGTTTTTGTTTTTTTTTATGTTTTTTTTTTTTTTTTTTTTTAAATCTACTTATTTTGTCAACAGATAATTGATTCCAAAAAATTGTACAAGTAGGTTAGCTGTTGAAAAACACTTAGATCAATAACTAATATTAGAATTGAATAATAATTTGTAATATTTACGTATAATAAATTAATACAAATCAATGTCATTGAAATTTGTTAACCAAATATTATTTCACACATGTACCCAAACTCCAAAGAGGGAAATAAGACGCCCAGGAAAATCTCATATACTGTCTGACATTGGTATTCTGTCCCTGATTTCTCGAGTATTGAATTAAGATAAAATTTAATGATTTTTTTTTTAAAACAATTGCTTTTGCAATAGAATAAAATAAAAAGTGTATGCGAAATAATATGTGCGTGACATGCAAATAGTCATAGATGAATTGAATTAATCGATTTAACGAACATCTTTTGCGATAAAAGTATTTTTATGGTGAATTGTGTTACGCTCGATAGTTGGCTTGAAAGCTGTCCATATCTTAATAATATCGTATAATATTAATATATCTTATCAGGAAATTAACCAGCACGGATGTCAAATATAAAGAAAACCTAGGAAGACAATCGGAAATTGTCTAAGGATTAAAAAAGATCAGTGCAAAATTCATTGTCATAGCGGTATGCTTATAGACAAGCAAGATTATTGTCCCATTACGGTCTTCGGTGTCACGCCATCATAGCTAACATGACTACATCGTTTGATAAATATGTACTGGTATAGACATATGAAATACAATCTGTCTGTGGATCAGTGAATATGGCCCTACCTCACTAACCAGATATCATTCGAGATCATCACGTTTTATTATATTTATCCACCTATATTTATGGTTTCCTCGTAATAATATGTCAAGTCACTTAAAGAGAAGTTACCAGCAACCTCATTCTATTGTAAGAGAGAGAGAGAGATGGGGTTTAACGTCCACTCGACACAAACTAGGTCATTTAGTTCGGGACTAACACATGGTTCAATTTTATTTCTTTATCAGTGGGAGGAAACCGGGTAACCCGGAGAAAACCCACGAGGTTGTACAGGCGACCCCCTACTCCTTGTCACGTACAACTGGGGAATCGAAACCCCGCCAACTGACTCAATGCCAGACCGTATGATACAGCGCGCGCGTGCTAACCATTCAGTCATCCAAACCCCCACAGAATTTGATGACTACATGTATATTGCGAAACTTAATGACTATTAGTACATAGCGCAACTTAATTATCAGATGTATTTTGCTCAATTTGATGACTACACGTATATTGCACAACTTGATGCCTATATATTTACAGCTATAGAGATTTTGAGAAACGAATTGAATATGTTTAATATTTTGGTGATTACCTTCTTTTCCAAAGAAAGTTACCACAAATTCTCCAAAACCCACCCCGCCATCAAAGCCTGGTCCGCCGTCATCATTTTTAAAAAAGAATATTTTTAAGACATTTATGTCTTCGATAAATAAAGATAAAGATCTCCCCCCTATCCCACCCTTGGCTCCAGTGAAAAATAACACGTCGCCACATAACTCAAATATAAGCAAATCAGAAGACACGACACATTCTGATGGTGTAAATGACGATCACGTAACAAGTAGTAGAGAACCTGTGAGTTGAACTGTGATGCGCATGTTTTGTGGGCCTTGCACGTTATTTATATGCATGCGGTGTTTTTGTTTATTATCTGGTGTTATTTTTGTATTATCCGTTACTGCATACTGGTGCATTTTTGAAACTATCAAACTTTGGTATATGGTAATAACTAAGCGTATATTTTCCCGAACAAAATTTGGAGGTTTTTATTTATAGGTAAAAAGAAAACCCTCCAATTTTAGAATTCACGCAACATGGCTATACAATGCAATCGCGGATTTTATAATTAATAACTGCATCTGCCAATCCATTGCCGAGATATAGTAGTTCATGTTAAAGGGGTAGACCAACGATTTTCAACAAGGTTTCCATAAATCTTAAATATATATTGATAAATAATCCCCTCTGTAACACAAACAAAAAAGTTTTTGTAAGCGAGAAATTAATTTTTATTAAAACCGGAAGTGACATAGTTGGTTCAACACGCTGACTGGGCTCTATAGCAAGCATACAGATTTGACACAAGTTTACTGCTGTATTGTGTTCACGTGTCGTCCTTTGGCCAAAACTCTGATCAAATCGGTTGTTTATTAGGATATCATAAACACGAATTTATGTATTTTTAACGTTTAGTACACAAAGCCGTGGCGTAAATTCACTCATACTAAACTGTACGCTGTGCCTCAATTCACGCCACATGGCTAATTGTTTGCCGAGAAAGTTCATCTAGATTTTCCGGCGTGGTTTCCCCTTGTCAGTGATGCAGGACGGAGGGCCTGACAAGGACAGCTGTCTAGTCGTTCGGATGGGACGAAAAACCGAGGTCCCGTGTACAAATTAGCGTGCACGTAAAAGATCCCTTGGCAGTTGGAATTTGATATAAGAGTAGGCCGTAGCGCCGCTGCCCGGGCAAAATTTCCCTCATAGCACACTGTATGGCGCATGCCCGTCTTCATTAGCCCAGTTTAGGAGCAAAACAGTAGGACGTTAAACCCCATTTCATTTCATTTCATTTCCAAACCCGGATAACCGAACTGACATAACAATAAATTTTAACATAAATAACGCATGATATTACACACCTGGATAATCTAGTTATCATTTTGAGGGCGCTGTTTACAACTAACCAAATCAAGGAAGTAATTTGTTTGTTCCCTTCGGGCTAATCCCTGTCATCCAATTTGGAGAAGTGATTGATTTCACACATTGGTAAGTAAAAATCACTAAATATTCTTTACTTATGTTATCTATCATTACATTCCGATGTATGTAATCTGCAAGGTTATGTTGACAAAAGATAATAATAACTTTTATATTCAGATGACGAAACCTTAAAAGTTAACGGGGTGGAACAGGGTTCGTAAATCGTTATGTACACAAACTATTTTGTCTTTAATATGTGACTATTTTGTTAGGTTGGAGAGAGTGAGAGAGAGAGAGAGAGAGAGAGAGAGAGAAAGTAACGCAGGGCCGTAACTAGCTCAGAGCAACGAAGGGGCGGGAATTGTTCTCAAGGGTGCTGAAAAATTGACGGACAATGTATATCTATGGTCGACAATTTGTTTCACAGGGGGGCGAAACTGGGACTGGTTTAACGTCCACTCGACACAGATACAAAATGGTTCAATTTAATTTCAATAATTTGCTTGCGCGTAAGGGTATTTAGCAGTGGGAGGAAACCAGAGGATAGGTCACAATATACGTAACCTATATACACTGTAATCTGGAACTTGATAAGTCCTTGAACCTTCTTTCTATATGGGTTGAGGGGGGAGGAGGTGGATGGCTGAATGGTTAGCACGTGCGCGCTGTTTCATAAAGTCTGTCATTGAGTCAACTGGTGTGGTTTCGATTCCCCGGTTGTACGTGACAAGGAGTAGGGTCGCCTGTCCAACCTCGTGGGTTTTCTTCGGGTCCTCCGGTTTCCCCCCACTGCTAAAGACCTGTACGCGCAAGCGAATTATTGAAATAAAAATTGGACCATGTGTTAGTCCCGAAATGACCTAGTTTGTGTTGAGTGGACGTTTAACCCATTTCTCTCTCTCTCTCTCCCCCTTTCTATATGAACTATGTATTTATTGAAATTTTATGTAAATTATTATTAAATTGATAATGTTTTGCTTATTGTTATTGTTAATTTTGTAGTGCTGAATAAATGAAAAATAACATGAAAGGGGACCTTCACTTTCCAATGGTTACTCGTAGCATCTTTTTTGTTAAAACGTTTTGTTGTCTATTTTTGTGCTAAAATAATTGCTGATCAAATATTGGCTTTCGGATTTACCTATTTAAGTGCTTGACTTCGATTGTGATATATTGTTTTCGGTTTAATATTGTTTTGGTTTTTTTTAAAAGGAATTTTTCTTTATGCTGGCTTTTGGGTTTTACGTTTCAAGTGCTTGACTTTGATTGTGATTTATTGTTTTCGGCTTAATATTGCGTTTTTCCAGATTTTTTTGTACATCTCTCTATCACTGTTATTGTTGTTAATTTGTTAGTTCTTATATTAAAATTTTAACAACTTCCCAATAAAGCCAATAGTGTTTAATTACTCAAATACAAAACGTTTGTCATTCAAACCATGGGACTTAAATCTGAAAATGGTGTCGGCCTACTTTGCGTAGTGAAAAATTCTATATTTAATCTTTATTTTGGGGTTTTGTGATTTTATGTGTACTTACGTTGGTATAAACCTAGTTTCATAGGCAGTAAAATTTGAAAGCGGAAGTGCCATTGTCTTAGAAACATGAATTGCTCTCTTGTCTATGGTGGCCTATCGTTATCATTCAGGATTTTACAAAAGTTCTTTAAAAACCTAAAAGAAATGAAATGAAAATGAAAAACAAAGTCAAAATCAAAATTAAATTAAAAGCAAAAGTTCAACCAAAATCAAAAGTTAAATCAAAACTAAAACTTAAATCAAAGGCAAAAATAAAAATAAAAATAAAAGTAAAACCAAAATGTAAATTAAAATCAAAACACAAATGAAAACTAAAATCATTTTTAAAAGTGATTTAAAATGTAAAACAAAAGTAAAAGTAAAAAGCAAAATAAACATATTTGTCGGCCTATCGCTATCATTCAACTTTTTTTCACGCAAAAGTAAAATAAAAAGTTTTGGTCAGCCTATCGCTATCATTGGACGTCCTTGACCCCAATCGGTAACCGTCGGCTATTTCCGACCGCTTCGACTCGACGGTTTGTTCTCCCGCGGTACAAATAAAACTGAATCAGAACAGTATTTTCTTATGGAATGCGAAAAGTAAAAAGATTTGCGAAAACAATATATATATCCAACCGTAAACATTACTGATCAAACCTTTTATTTTAATAATCTCTTCAATCCATCAAGCATCATTGTCCCGATCAGTGTTGCAGAATTTGTGATTTATATGTCTACATAATATTATATTACTCGTATCTATTTTATGCGCGCATGTTGTTTTTTTGTCCGGTTTTTATATTCCATATATGTATATTGTATGTATGGTTTGTATTGTCTGTCTGTAAATTGATGCCCGCGTATAACTTTTTCATCTTTACATATTGTATATTATGACAGCCCTAAAAGGGCGTTCCGATGCAATCAAATTCTTTTTTGTTCTTTTCTATTCTATATACACATTTACATATTCGTTAGTGTGAAATGAAATGAAATGGGATTTAACGTCCTACTGTTCTGCTCCTATGCTGGGCTAATGAAGACGGGCATACGCCATACAGTGTGCTATGAGGGAAATTTTGCCAGGGCAGCGGCACTATCGCCTATTCTTATATCGAAATCCAACTGCCAAGGGGGAACCACGCCGGAAAATCTGGATGAACTTTCTCGGCCAATGCAGAGATCGATCACCCGACCTCCAGGCTAGCGAGCCAGCACCTTACCCACTTAGCCACGTGATCCCCATTCGTTAGTGTAATGGTAAACGTTACTGATTAAGCGTTGCACATCCCTCTACATCCCGAGACGCAGCTTTACCCATGGTTAGGTTGTCGGTCAAAGGGAAATTGTGCTGCCCGGACAGCGGCATTGCGGCCTACTCTTATATCGAAATCTAACTGCCTGGGGATCTTTAACGTGCATGCCAATGTGAACACGGGACTTTGGTTTTTTGTCCCATCCGAGCGATTGTCCCATCGGAATATCGGATATTGATATCATCGCTACAGTCACATTGCATAACCCGTGGGTTTCTCTGTTAACTCTCGAGCTATGTCAATTCCGCGCCTATATGCCATTCGAAACTCAATAGATTTCCTCTTTGATCAGATATTATGTAATTTCTTCTTGCATTGCAGACCGTTTAATTGTGTGTTGCGCATGCGTGCCATTCAAAAGGACATGCGTGTCATTCAGAAGGATATAAAATAATCTTTTCGTAGCGGTAGGGCACCCGCGATGACAGTCTGGCCCAGGGACCGGCCCTGTTTAAGCTGGGCTTTGAGTTTGGGAGTTAACAGAGACAAACCACGGGTTATGCAATGTTACTGTAGCGATGATATCAATATCCGATGTTCGGATGGGACGAAAACCCCAAGGCCCCGTGTTCAAATTGGCATGCACGTTAAAGATCCCCAGGCACTTGGAATTCGATATAAGAATATGACGTCAAACTTTCAGCTGTCTGGATTAGCGGGTTCGGTTCTTGACGGGGTATCGTGTCACATTGTTTGCCCAACGTGGGCGTTGGAGTGCTTCTTCTCTCCGAAAAAACTCGTAGCAACAACCTAACGTTGGGTATAGCTGCCTCTCGAGGGCCACCCATCTAAAGGCGGCGGTAGTGTAGAGGGATGTGCAACGCTTAATCAGTAACGTCTACGAATATGTAAATGTGTATATAGAATAGAAAAGAACAAAATAGAATTTGATTGCATCGGAACGCCCTTTTAGGACTGTCATATACAATATGTAAAGAGAGAGAGAGAGAGAGAGAGAGAGAGAGAGAGAAATGGGGTTTAACGTCCACTCGACACAAACTAGGTCATTTCGGGACTAACATATGATTCAATTTTATTTCCATAATTCGCTTGCGCGTAGGGGTCTTTAGCAGTGGGAGGAAACCGGAGGACCCGGAGAAAACCAACGAAGTTGAACAGGCGACCCTACTCCTTGTCACGTACAACCGGGGATTCGAAACCACGCCAGTTGACTCAATGACAGATTTTATGATACAGCACGCACGTGCTAACCATTCGCCCCCCCCCCCCCCAATATGTAAAGATGAAAAAGTTATACGCGGGCATCAATTTACAGACAGACAATACAAACCATACATAAAATATACATATACATATATAGAAAATAAAAACCGGACAAAAAAAACAACATAAGCGCATAAAATAGATACGAGTAATATAATATTATGTCGACATATAAATCACAATATGTAAAGATGAAAAAGTTATACGCGGGCATCAATTTACAGACAGACAATACAAACCATACATACATACATATATAGAATATTAAAACCGGACAAAAAAACAACATGCGCGCATAAAATAGATACGAGTAATATAATATTATGTAGACATATAAATCCCAAATTCTGCAACACTCGGGGCTATGATGCTTGATGGATTGAAGAGGTTATTAAATTAAAAGGTTTGATCAGTAATGTTTACGGTTGGATATATATATTGTTTTCGCAAATCTTTTTACTTTTCGCATTCCATAAGAAAATACTGTACTGATTCAGTTTTATTTGTACCGCAGGATAACAAACCGTCGAGTCGAATCGGTCGGAAATAGCCGACTGTTATCGATTGGGGTCAAGGACGTTCAATGATAGCGATAGGCCGACCGAAATTTTTTTATTTTACTTTTGCGTGAAAAAAAGTTGAATGATAGCGATAGGCCGACAAATATGTTTATTTTGCTTTTTACTCTTACTTTTGTTTTATATTTTAAATTACTTTTAAAAATGATTTTAGTTTTCATTTGTGTTTTGATTTTAATTTACATTTTGGATTTGGTTTTACTTTTATTTTTATTTTTCCTTTTGATTTAATTTTTAGTTTTGATTTAACTTTTTGCTTTTAATTTAATTTTTAGTTTTGATTTAACTTTTTGCTTTTAATCTACTTTTGATTTTGACTTTGTTTTTCACTTTCATTTCATTTTATTTAGGTTTTTTTAAAGAAATTTTGTTAAATCATGAATGATAACGATAGGCCACCATACTAGTCATATTGGGCCAAATAATTGT